GCGGTACCGGTCTCGTCTCGCAAGCGAGACGTGACGGATTGGAATCCCGGGCCGGTGGAAAGTGGTTTGGACACGCTTCCTAGACGTCCCTGTTGACGTAGTGGTAAAGTAGATACCTGTTGTAAATCGAAAGTTGCGAATTCGTATTCGGGGGCAAGTTGTTGGAGGTTCCAGTAAGTTGGCCAGAAAGTCTTTGGGGTTGTATGCCCTCGACCCGAAAATCCCATGGTCCTTGAGGTTTGTGGTCACTTGACTAATGAGACATAAAGGCAAGCATGAAGTTGGCATGGTGCCTAGTTGGGCGGTGTAGGCGCTTCACGTTGCTCAGGATTAAGGGAGGGGTGCCACATCCCCTTGCCCCTAAAAAGTGGTAATGAGAAATGGTGGAGTAAAATGTCGACTTGTGTTGACAGTAAAATGACTGAAAGGTGTTAATGTTTGATGATTTTTTCTTTGCAGGTGGAGGAGGTGGTCAAAGAGTGTAGGTGGATTAGAGCACTACCTGTGGGTAAGTGTTGAAATTTTATGAAATAGTTTTGAAGTAATATAAATATTGAGTTGTGGACACACGTGTATATTTTGTTGTTAATGTGAGGAAAGGTCGATGTATGGCATTCGAGCAGAGCCGGTAGTAGAATTGACACGTGTGGACGCACCTTAATAGAGAGGTTGAAGCGAAAATAAGCATGTTGTTGTGTGTAGGATTTGTTATTTTTCAGGCTTGCGGATGGGGTGGAGACGTGTTGGGAAGTGCAGTAGACTGTGTTGATTAAGCAAGGGGAAGTATGGTAGCCATCCAGAGGTGGGGGAGAAGCTTTTGATGTTTGAAAGGAGGCCAGTGTTGTAACGATGCGGCCCATGCACCATCTCCTGCAAGGTAATGTACACCGGTTGAAGGTGGACTTGTGTTGTCGGTAGGGTTGTTATTACTGTGATATTGTGTAAGCTTTGTAATTGCTATTAAGTTTTGTTTGTAGTAATTGTTTTGTATATATTTTACAGGAGGTGTTGCCGTCCATAAGACGTGGTTGGTGTTGGAGAGGGAGATTAACGCTGGACTGAGTTTTGGAGGCAGCTTTGGTGTAAGTATTTTAGTGCCTGGAAGGAAGACTGGGTAATTGAATGTGTATATATACTGTGTAATAATTTGAAGAGTGGAGTATTTGTAACATTGATGTTTTTGTTTTTTTCATGTTGGTGGCGGCGGAATATGGCCGACTTGTTGAGAGGAGCGTGTCGACTCGTCATACGGTGATGTTAAATTTTGTTATGTATTGTTGGAAGAGTTGTAGGTGAAGCTTTTTGTTGATGAAATGTGTTGTTACGACTCCATGGTAACAAGTGTGGCGGAAATAAGTAGGAAGCTTGTATGAGACGTTTCCACTAATTTCAGGAGCAGTATACATTGATATTGTAATTATGGTAGGGACCGTTGCTTGGTCAGAGATTAGAGTGGGGGTTATATTTGAGATGGGCAAGGTATATAGTTGGGAATGTTTGAAAAGTAAGTGAGGTTGCCATGGAGTGTAGGAGCACATTTGTGCAAGAGTTGCCTGTTTGTGAAATTGGTATAGAGTTTGTTGTGATGTTAAAATAAGTTATGTTTGCAGTTTGAGGAGGTGTGGAAAGATGAGGTGGCCGAAGAGTTTCGAGGATTATTGGTGGGTAAGTATTGATTTTGTAGTTGAGAGTTTATGACATACAGGTTTGAAGTAACATAAAGTGAAATTTGTTGTAGAGTAAAGGTGTGGACACGGTAGTCTATATTGTAACTAATGTGAGGTTTGCCTCGTCGCTGATGAAAATGTAGGGACGCGAAAGTAAACGTGTTGTAATATGGTGGTTGTGTGTAGGACTTGTTACTTTTCAGGCTTGAGGAGATGTGGCGGCAAGTGCAGAAAGGCTATTATTACCTGTATGGCGCAGACTAAGCAAGTGGAAGTAGGGTAGTCATCCAGAGGTGGGGGAGAAGCGTTTGATGTTTGAAAGGAGGCCAGTGTTGTAACGATGCGGCCCGTGCACCATCTCCTGCAAGGTAATGTACACCGGTTGAAGGTGGACTTGTGTTGTCGGTAGGGTTGTTATTACTGTGGTATTGTGTAAGCTTTGTAATTGATATTAAGTTTTGTTTGTAGTAATTGTTTTGTATATATTTTATAGGAGGTGTTGCCGTCCATAAGACGTGGTTGGTGTTGGAGAGGGACATTAACGCTGGACTGAGTTTTGGAGGCGGCTTTGGTGTAAGTATTTTAGTGCCTGGAAGAACATTGGGTAATTGAATGTGTATATATACTGTGTAATAATTTGAAGAGTGGAGTATTTGTAACATTGATGTTTTTTTTCATGTTGGTGGCGGCGGCGGAATATGGGCGACTTGTTGAGAGGAGCGTGTCGACTCGTCATACGGTGATGTTGAATTTTGTCATGTATTAGTGAAATTTGAAGAGTTTTAGGTGAAGCTTTTTGTTGATGAAATGTGTTGTTACGACTCCATGGTAACAAGTGTGGCGGAAATAAGTAGGAAGCTTGTATGAGACGTTTCCACTAATTTCAGGAGCAGTATACATTGATATTGTAATTATGGTAGGGACCGTTGCTTGGTCAGAGATTAGAGTGGGGGTTATATTTGAGATGGGCAAGGTATATAGTTGGGAATGTTTGAAAAGTAAGTGAGGTTGCCATGGAGTGTAGGAGCACATTTGTGCAAGAGTTGCCTGTTTGTGAAATTGGTATAGAGTTTGTTGTGATGTTAAAATAAGTTATGTTTGCAGTTTGAGGAGGTGTGGAAAGATGAGGTGGCCGAAGAGTTTCGAGGATTATTGGTGGGTAAGTATTGATTTTGTAGTTGAGAGTTTATGACATACAGGTTTGAAGTAACATAAAGTGAAATTTGTTGTAGAGTAAAGGTGTGGACACGGTAGTCTATATTGTAACTAATGTGAGGTTTGCCTCGTCGCTGATGAAAATGTAGGGACGCGAAAGTAAACGTGTTGTAATATGGTGGTTGTGTGTAGGACTTGTTACTTTTCAGGCTTGAGGAGATGTGGCGGCAAGTGCAGAAAGGCTATTATTACCTGTATGGCGCAGACTAAGCAAGTGGAAGTAGGGTAGTCATCCAGAGGTGGGGGAGAAGCGTTTGATGTTTGAAAGGAGGCCAGTGTTGTAACGATGCGGCCCGTGCACCATCTCCTGCAAGGTAATGTACACCGGTTGAAGGTGGACTTGTGTTGTCGGTAGGGTTGTTATTACTGTGGTATTGTGTAAGCTTTGTAATTGATATTAAGTTTTGTTTGTAGTAATTGTTTTGTATATATTTTATAGGAGGTGTTGCCGTCCATAAGACGTGGTTGGTGTTGGAGAGGGACATTAACGCTGGACTGAGTTTTGGAGGCGGCTTTGGTGTAAGTATTTTAGTGCCTGGAAGAACATTGGGTAATTGAATGTGTATATATACTGTGTAATAATTTGAAGAGTGGAGTATTTGTAACATTGATGTTTTTTTTCATGTTGGTGGCGGCGGCGGAATATGGGCGACTTGTTGAGAGGAGCGTGTCGACTCGTCATACGGTGATGTTGAATTTTGTCATGTATTAGTGAAATTTGAAGAGTTTTAGGTGAAGCTTTTTGTTGATGAAATGTGTTGTTACGACTCCATGGTAACAAGTGTGGCGGAAATAAGTAGGAAGCTTGTATGAGACGTTTCCACTAATTTCATGAGCAGTATACATTAATATTGTAATTATGGTAGGGACCGTTGCTTGGTCAGAGATTAGAGTGGGGGTTATATTTGAGACGGGCAAGGTATATAGTTGGGAATGTTTGAAAAGTAAGTGAGGTTGACATGGAGCGTAGGAGCACATTTGTGCAAGAGTTGCCTGTTTGTGAAATTGGTATAGAGTTTGTTGTGATATAAAAATAAGTTATGTTTGCAGTTTGAGGAGGTGTCGAAAGATGAGGTGGCCGAAGAGTTTGGAGGATTACTGGTGGGTAAGTACTGATTTTGTAGTTGAGAGTTTATGACATACAGGTTGGAAGTACCATAAAGTGAAAGTTGTTGTAGAGTAAAGGTGTGGACACGGTAGTCTATATTGTAACTAATGTGAGGTTTGCCTCGTCGCTGATGAAAATGTAGGGACGCGAAAGAAAACGTGTTGTAATATGGTGGTTGTGTGAAGGACTTGTTACTTTTCAGGCTTGAGGAGATGTGGCGGCAAGTGCAGAAAGGCTATTATTACCTGTATGGCGCAGACTAAGCAAGTGGAAGTATGGTAGCCATCCAGAGGTGGGGGAGAAGCGTTTGATGTTTGAAAGGAGGCCAGTGTTGTAACGATGCGGCCCGTGCACCATCTCCTGCAAGGTAATGTACACCGGTTGAAGGTGGACTTGTTTTGTCGGTAGGGTTGTTATTACTGTGGCATTGTGTAAGCTTTGTTATTGCTATTAAGTTTTGTTTGTAGTAATTGTTTTGTATATATTTTACAGGAGGTGTTGCCGTCCATAAGACGTGGTTGGTGTTGGAGAGGGACATTAACGTTGGACTGAATTTTGGAGCCAGTTTTGGTGTAAGTATTTTAGTGCCTGGAAGATGACTTGGTAATTGAATGTGCATATATACTGTGTAATAATTTGAAGAGTGGAGTATTTGTAACATTGATGTTTTTTTTTCATGTTGGCGGCGGCGGAATATGGGCGACTTGTTGAGAGGAGCGTGTCGACTCGTCATAAGGTGATGTTGAATTTTGTCATGTATTAGTGAAATCTGACGAGTTTTAGGTGAAGCTTTTTGTTGATGAAATGTGTTGTTACGACTCCATGGTAACAAGTGTGGCGGAAATAAGTAGGAAGCTTGTATGAGACGTTTCCACTAATTTCATGTGCAGTATACATTGATATTGTATTGATGGTAGGGACCGTTGCTTGGTCAGAGATTAGAGTGGCGGTTATATTTGAGACGGGTAAGGTGTGAGTAAAATGTGTGGGAAGGTACATTGTTGGGAATGTTTGAAAAGTAAGTGAGGTTGCCATGGAGCGTAGGAGCACATTTGTGCAAGAGTTGGCTGTTTGTGAAATTGGTATAGAGTTTGTTGTGTGATACTAAAATAAGTTATGTTTGCAGTTTGAGGAGGTGTGGAAAGATGAGGTGGCCGAAGAGTTTGGAGGATTACTGGTGGGTAAGTATTGATTTTGTAGTTGAGAGTTTATGACATATAGGTTTGAAGTAACATAAAATGAAAGTTGTTGTAGAGTAAAGGTGTGGACACGGTAGTCTATATTGTCGCTAATGTGAGGTTTGCTTCGTCGCTGATGAAAATGTTGGGGCGCGAAAGTAAACGTGTTGTAATATGGTGGTTGTGTGAAGGACTTGTTACTTTTCAGGCTTGAGGAGATGTGGCAGCAAGTGCAGAAAGGCTATTATTACCTGTATGGCGCAGACTAAGCAAGTGGAAGTAGGGTACTCATCCAGAGGTGGGGGAGAAGCGTTTGATGTTTGAAAGGAGGCCAGTGTTGTAACCATGCGGCCCATGCACCATCTCCTGCAAGGTAATGTACACCGATTGCAGGTGGACTTGTGTTGTCGGTAGGGTTGTTATTACTGTGATATTGTGTAAGCTTTGTTATTGCTATTAAGTTTTGTTTGTAGTAATTGTTTTGTATATATTTTACAGGAGGTGTTGCCGTCCATAAGACGTGGTTGGTGTTGGAGAGGGACATTAACGCTGGACTGAGTTTTGGAGGCAGCTTTGGTGTAAGTATTTTAGTGCCTGGAAGAAGACTTGGTAATTGAATGTGTATATATACTGTGTAATAATTTGAAGAGTAGAGTATTTGTAACATTGATGTTTTTTTTTCATGTTGTCGGCGGCGGCGCAATATAGCCGACTTGTTGAGAGGAGCGTGTCGACTCGTCATACGGTGATGTTAAATTTTGTTATGTATTGTTGGAAGAGTTGTAAGTGAAGTTTTTTGTCGATGAAATGTGTTGTTACGACCCCATGGTAACATGTGTGGGGGAAATAGGTAGGAATCATACATTGATATTGTATTGATGGTAGGGACCGTTGCTTGGTCAGAGATTAGAGTGGGGGTTATATTTGAGACGGGCAAGGTATATAGTTGGGAATGTTTGAAAAGTAAGTGAGGTTGCCATGGAGCGTAGGAGCACATTTGTGCAAGAGTTGTCTGTTTGTGAAATTGGTATAGAGTTTGTTGTGTGATACTAAAGTAAGTTATGTTTGCAGTTTGAGGAGGTGTCAAAATATGAGGTGGCCGAAGAGTTTCGAGGATGGAGGGACGCGTGGAGGCGAAAGTAAAGGTGTTGTAATATGGTGGTTGTGTGAAGGAGTTGTTATTTTTCAGGCTTGAGATGTGGCGGCAAGTGCAGAAAGGCTATTATTACCTGTATGGCGCAGACTAAGCAAGTGGAAGTATGGTAGCCATCCAGAGGTGGGGGAGAAGCCTTTGATGTTTGAAAGGAGCCAAGTGTTGTAACCATGCGGCCCGTGCACCATCTCCAGAAAGGTAATGTACACTGGTTGAAGTGATATGAAAATGAAGAGCGTCTTGGGTTGTTGTTAATAATGTGTAAGTTTTGTGTTTGTACTAATTGTTTTGTATATATCGTACAGGAGGAGTTGTTGGCGTGCATAAGACGTGATTGGTGTTGGAGAGGGACATTAACGCTGGACTGAATTTTGGAGCCAGTTTTGGTGTAAGTATTGTGGTGCGTGGAGGAAGACTGGTTAATTGAATGTGCATTTATACTGTTTAATAATTTGAAGAGTAGAGTACAGTATTTGCAACATTGATGTGTTTTTGTTTTTGTTTCATGTTGGTGGTGGCGGAATATGGCCGACTCGTTGAGAGGAGCGCGTCGACTCGTCATACGGTGATGTTAAATTTTGTCATGTAATAGTGAAATTGGAAGAGTTGTAGGTGAAGTTTTTTGTGGATGAAATGTGTTGTTACGAGTCCGTGGGAAATAGGTAGGAAGCTTGTATGAGACCTTTAGATTGATAGTGTAGTTATGGTAGGGATTGTGTGTTGAGGGCTATGAGACTATTGATTGCATTTGGGTTGGTAAAAGTGTGTGGGTTTGACTTGACCTGGGCAAGGTGAGAGTAAATTGAGGTAATACTTGGGGCCGTGTGAAAAGTAAGTGATGTTGCCACGGAGCGTAGGACGACATTTGTGAAGAGTTGCCGTAATAGAAAATTGCCTAAGTGGATTATGACTAGTTGTTGTTTGAAAATATGTTTGCAGGTATGTTTTGTGGTAGACTACTACTACTACTACTACTACTGGAGGTAGATGAGGTGTATAAGCACGTGCAGGGGCCAGTCGTTATTTGAAGGTGGCGGATGCTCGTCCTACAGCCGAAGAAAGCGCAGAGTGTTGCGATGGCACCGAGTGTGAGGACCAACAATGGAGGAGCCGAGGAAGAAGATTTTGGAAAAGGAGTGAGAGACGTGACGAAGCAGCCGATGAGGATAAAAGGAATGGTAAGTTGAAATGCCATTTTCAATTTTAGCCAAGAATGGATATGAAATAGAGTAATGTTTTTGTATGTGTTGTGGAAGATTGTTTATAGAAGGTTGTAGTGAGAAATAAGTGTTGTTGTTGTTGTTGTTTTTCAGGATGCAGCGTAACCGGGTTGCAGAAAAGGCGGAGGTATGGCAGAGCAGCCGAGGCGGAAAATGAGATGCGCGTTTCGTCGGAGGAAGTATAACGTACGGGAAGGAGCCGACGTAGTATTAACGATTGCGTGAGTAATCGTCCATGACTTGAATTGAGTTTATTATAGTGGAATGCATGTTTTAGAAGAGTGTAATTTGTTTAGTATTGGTCAGTTGTGGTGAAGTTTGTTGGTAGGAGGCTGGTATTGTTGTTACACACTCGAGGCTGTGTAATGATCGGTACTAGCCTCGGTGAATGTAGAGTACGTAGTTAGATCGGATGAGTTTGACTGAGGGAAGCGGGTGAAGAGTCGGCGGCGGAGGGTAGAAATTGTCGGAGGGCGACGCGCCTCGGAAGAGGCGCGCTCTCCGTAGATGGGTCAAGCCGAGGTAAAGGCGGGTCCGTCGTAGGCAACGCACTCTCGAGAAGAGGGAGGCGTCGTCGACGGGCAAGAATTGGACGCCGTAACCCCTCTTGAACTCCGTCCCCGTTTTTCAGCGGAGCATCGGCTGTAGACACTAGAGGTGTGGGAGTCGGACCAGGAGAAGCACGTCGACGCAGGGGGCACGAGAGGGCGTCGGCGACGACGGGGAAAGGCTCTGCGAAGAGAGCCGGCAAGTCCTAGGATATCGTAGGTATTACTTACCGTATGGATACGAGATTTGTCTTTTCCAAGACGAGTAAAGGCCATCCATTTGCAGGAGCGGTTTGTTTATAATAACCTCTGTGGGTATGTCGTTTTGATCCTGAGGTACCGGTCGTCGCTCCCGAGCGGAAGCGGGTAATGCGTCACGAATTATTGTGCAGAGGGGGAGTTGTGTGGCGTCACCCAGAAGTGGGCGAAGAACAGATCCCAGCGGTGAAGCCTCGAGAAGGAGTGCCATCGACGCGGGAAGAAGCGGCACGGGGCTACTCCGCAGCACGGGTAATATATTTGACGGAAGAGGCCATTGTGACGTTCATCTTTAGTGGGAGAGTGGAAAAATTGGAAATTGTTAAATGTTTTCTCTTTTTCAGATCGAAGGAAGGGGGCTAACTCGCCGTCGACGACGACGCGTAGCCGCGACCGGCGTACCGAGATGTCGTTTGAATTCACAGCCGCTGTCCCCGGGGTGTACGGTGCCGAGAATACGTCGTGTCTGCGATTGGGGCGGAGAAGACGTCCCGTGAATGTATAGCTGTCGTCCCTGTGACCGGGGTGTATGGAGCTTCGAAGAAGATGTCCCGTGAACGTGTAGCCGTTGTCCCTGTGACAGGGGTGTATGGAGCTGAGAAGTAGATGTCCTTTGAACGTGTAGCCGAGGAGAAGACATTGTAGCGGACTTTTCCTCTACAAATTGCGTAGCTGCACATCACCTGCTACCGTCTTCCCTAGCAACCAAGCGTATCTGCATTCCAATGCCCGCTGTATTCTAGCAACCGAGCCAAAAGGCTGGCGACTTCTTGGGTTTTCCCAACATGACTCATAGCGGCTGGTGGGTATATAAGCTCTGTCTCTCCCTCTTGAGATTGAGTCTGACCAATCTTTTTGAACAAGTAACATCTCCTCCTCCGCCGCTGCCTGGGTCCCTCGCATCTCTTTGCCTGTCTGGCGGTCCTCGCTCCCGCCAGCGAGCATGGCGACTCACCAGCTGTCATTCTGAGGTTCCTCACCAACCAATTCTGATTCTGCCCATTTTCCTGAACAAGCAACATCTCCTCTAGCAAGCTCCTAGCTGTCCAGCATTCATTCAATCAGGAGGCCAGCAACAGGCAACATTTTCTGTAACGAAGCTCCTGCACATCTACCTACTACAACACGCTACTCACCGAACGTGTTCTACCGAGCAGCCTCTCACCAGATGGCATCTCTAGCATCAGACTGTCTCTAATATAACTTATATATTATACAAGAAAACCACATTAGAGTTTTCTTCCATCCTGAGTGCTAGCCAGCATTAATATCTCGATACCCCTACAATGTCTTTTGAATGTATAGGTGTCGTCTCTGTGATGGGTGTATGGAGCCTCAAAGAAGATGTCCCGTGAACGTGTAGCTGTCGTCCCTGTGACAGGGGTGTATGGAGCTGAGAAGTAGATGTCCTTTGAACGTGTAGCCGAGGAGAAGACATTGTAGTGGACGTCTCCACTACAAACTGTGTAGCTGCACATCACCTGCTACTGTCTTCCCTAGCAACCAAGTGTATCCGCATTCCAATGCCCGCCGTTTCCTAGCAACCGAGCCAAAAGGTCGGCGACTTCTTGGGTTTTCCCAACACCACTCATAGGGGCTGCTGGGTATATAAGCTCTGTCTCTCCCTTGAGATTCAGTCTGACCAATGTTCTCGAACAAGCAACACCTCCTCCGCTGCTGCCTGGCTCCCTCGCATCTCCTTGCCTGCCTGGCGGTCCTCGCTCCTGCCAGCGAGTATGGCGACCCACCAGCTGTCCTTCTGAGCTTCCTCACCAACCAAATGTGATTCTGCCCATTTTCCTGAACAAGCAACATCTCCTCCAGCAAGCTCCTAGCTGTCCAGCATTCATTCAATCAGAAGGCCAGCAACAGGCAACATCTTCTCTAACGAAGGTCCTGCACATCTACCTCCTACAACACGCTACTCACCGAACGTCTTCTACCGAGCAGCCCCTCACCAGACGACATCTGCAGCACCAGTCTGTCTCTCATATAACTTATATATTATACAAGAAAACCACATTAGAGTTTCCTTCCATCCTGAGTGCTAGACAACATTAATATCTCGATACCCCTACAATGTCTTTTGAATGTATAGCCGTCGTCTCTGTGATAGGGGTGTATGGAGCCTCAAAGAAGATGTCCCGTGAACGTGTAGCCGTTGTCCCTGTGACAGGGGTGTATGGAGCCGAGGAGAAGACGTCCTTTGAATGTATAGCCGTCGTCTCTGTGACGGGGGTGTATGGAGCCTCGAAGAAGATGTCCGGTGAACGTGTAGCTGTCGTCCATGTGACAGGGGTGTATGGAGCCTTGAAGAAGATGTCCGGTGAACGTGTAGCTGTCGTCCATGTGACAGGGGTGTATGGAGCCGAGGAGAAGACGTCCTTTGAATGTATAGCTGTTGTCTCTGTGATAGGGGTGTATGGAGCCTCGAAGAAGATGTCCTGTGAGCGTGTAGCCGTTGTCCCTGTGACAGGGGTGTATGGAGCCGAGGAGAAGACGTCCTTTGAATGTATAGCCGTCGTCTCTGTGACTGGGGTGTACGGAAACTCGAAGAAGATGTCCGGTGAACATGTAGCTGTCGTCTCTGCGACTGGGGTGTATGTAGCTGAGGAGAAGACGTCCTTTGAATGTATAGCCGTCGTCCCTGTGATGGATGTATGGAGCCGAGAAGACGTCCCGTGAACGTATAGCCGTTGTCCCTGGGACCGGGGTGTATGGAGCTGAGAAGATGTCCTTTGAACGTGTAGTCGAGGAGAAGATGGTACTTTGAATGTATAGCCGTTGTCCCTGTGATGGGCGTATGGAGCCGAGAAGACCTTCTGTGAACGTATAGCTGTCGTCCCTGGGACCCGGGTGTATGGAGCCGAGAAGATGTTCTGTGAATGTATAGCCATTAATATGATGTTTGGAGCAGAAATTGATGTACTGTACTGTATTATATTGCTATGTGTATAGAATATATGTATTTGAGTTGAACTTTGTGTTTCGTTTATGGCCTGATGTGCATTTTGAGTGGGAGATGATGTGTGAAGTAGAAACACACATAGGTGGTGGAGGATGACGATGACAAGTGATTGAGGCATTATAAGAAGGTAATGTGTGAAACTTTGAGATTAGTTAATGTAATATGATTGTTGGTAAAGTAAAGTAAAGTAAAGTAAAGGTGTTGAAATCTAATTGAAAAGCATTGTTGATATTGAGATTGGTTAATGTAATAAGATATTTTTGAAAGTAAAGTAAAGGTGTTGAATAATAGGAAGTGTTGACATAATTGCGTGAATTCTAATGCTTCTTTTTCTTTCTTCCTTTACTTGCAGGTACACGGGAACACACGTGGTGTTGTTTTAGAGTGTTTATTGAGCTTCAAAGGTGATTTTTCCACTGAGAGAGAGTAGTTATTCCTCATTGGTGAGTTGGTGTTTTGATGTATGTTTGCAAACGTAAGCTCGGACATTGTCCATAGACACGACATCTGTGTCGAGAGAGCTATACGAGGACTGAACCTATTGTCGGTACCGACAAGAGGTTACAGTCTGAGCAAACAAACATTAAAACATCAACTTAACTAAATGGAATAACTACTCTCTCTCGGTTGGCTCTAAAAAAAAAAAAAAAAAAAAAAGGAAGGGATGGCCAGGGCCTATCTTAAAAGATAACAAATCAAAAACAATCCCCGTTTTCTGTTCGATTTCAAGAAAAGGGGAAACTAAAGAAAATGGGAAACCCTTCCTCTTTTTTCTACAAGTCCAGTTTCTACGTGATCCCGTTTTCTACAACATCATGCTTTTTTTCTTCTAAGTCCAAAACTGACTGTATGTTAACTTGTGAAAAATAAAAACTTTAATTATATGCTTCCTTTTATTATACATTGAAAATATTTCTATGTCCGTGTACATGAAAAAAAAAACTAAGTCCATAAAAGATGAAAAATATTCTAAGTCCACAAACATTATAATTTTTTCTATGTCCACAAACATAAGAAATTATTCTAAGTCCACAAAGAATAAGAAAATTTTCTAAGTCCACTGTGGGGTTCAAGATGTTTGGTTCACACTCAGGATGGGATGGAGAAAGGAAACTCACAATGTGCTCTCTGTATACATGTTGTATTGGATGTACAGTGCAGCTTGGTGCTGGGAAGGCAGCATGGTTACAAGCGTGATGTAGAGAGAGCTGGTTGGTGAAGACGCTCAGAGGAGGATCAGCTTGTGGGTCGCCATGCTCGCCAGCGGGAGAGAGGACCACCAGGCAGACGGAGGTGTTGCTGGCTGGTTGGTGTAGGTAGAGAGAGAGAGACAGATCACCACGAGGTCAGGTCTTAAATAGCGGGGGTAGGCGTGGCTTAGCAGTTGACCCCCGCTCCGTGGTGTATGGCGGCGCTGGTTGACCTAGAACACGAGGCATACACTGGGGAATTGGTGGGGTCGGCTAGGCAGCGACAAACAGCGTTTGTAGGGGAGAATTCCACTACACCACAAACATTATAATTTTTTCTAAGTCAACAAACATAAGAAATTTTTCTAAGTCCACAAATATTATAAATTTTTTCTAAGTCAACAAACATAACAAATTATTCCAAGTCAACAAAAGAAAAAAAATTTCTAAATCAAGAAACATAACAAATATTTCTAAGTCAACAAACAGAAGAAAAGTTTCTAACTCACCAAAAGATAATAAGTTATTCCAAGTCAACAAACATTATAGATTTTTTAAAAGACCACAAACAGAAAACTTTTACAAGTCCACAAACATAAGAATTTTTCCTAGGTCAACAAACATTATAAACTTTTTTCTAAGTCCACAAATATTATACATTTTTTTCTAAGTCAACAAATATTATAAATATTTTTCTAAGTCAACAAATATAAATTTTTTTCTAAGTAAACAAACATAGGAAATTTCTCTAAGTCAACAAACATAGGAAATTTTTTCTAAGTCCACAAACATAACAAATTTTCCTAGGTCAACAAACATTATAAATTTTTTCTAGGTCAACAAAAGATAAGAAATTTTTCCAAGCCCACAATCATTAAAAATTATTACAAGTCCACAAAACATAGGAAATTTTTCTAAGTCAACAAACATAGGAAATTTTTTCTAAGTCCACAAACATAACAAATTTTCCTAGGTCAACAAACATTATAAATTTTTTCTAGGTCAACAAAAGATAAGAAATTTTTCCAAGCCCACAATCATTAAAAATTATTACAAGTCCACAAAACATAGGAAATTTTTCTAAGTAAATAAGTCCACAAACATTTCTAGGTCAAACATTATAAATTTTTTCTAGGTCAACAAAAGATAAGAAATTTTTCCAAACCCACAATCATTAAAAATTATTACAAGTCCACAACACATGAAAAATATACAAATTCCACAAAGGATAACAAAATTTTATAAGTCTACAACATTGTCAATTTTTCCAAATCCACAGGATAACAATCCACAAACAATATAAATTTTTATAAGTCCACAATACATATAAATTATTTAAAGTCCACAAACATAACAAATTATTCTAAGTACACAAAACATATAAATTATTCAAAATCCACAAAAGATATAAATTATTCAAAGTCCACAAAAGATATAAATTATTCTGAGTAAACAAAAGACAAATTTTGTATAGATCCACAAAACATACATTATTCTAAGTCCACAACAAATGAAAACTATACAACATCCACAAAGGATAACAAATTTTTATAAGTCTACAAACATTGTAAATTTTTCTAACTCCACAAACATTATAAATTTTTATAATTCCACAAAACATATAAATTATTCTAAGTACACAAAGAACATACATTTTTACAAGTCCACAAACAATGAACAATATTCAAAGTCCACAAAAGATACAAATTATTCTAAGTACACAAAGAACATAGAGTATTCTTCATCCTTTGTGGACTTGAAATATTGTTTATCCTTTGTCAACTTATAAAACTTCAAGTCCACAAAGGATTTAAATTATTCCAAGTCCACAAGAGATATAAATTATTCTAAATACACAAAGGATATAAAGTTTGACAACTCCACAAACATAATACATTATTACAACTCCACAAACAATGAACAATATTCCAAGTCCACAAAGGATACAAATTATTCTAAGTACACAAAGGATATAAAGTTTGACAAGTCCACAAAAGATGAACAATATTCTATGTCCTTTGTGTACTTACAATAATTTCTATCCTTTGTGGACTTTGAATATTGTTTATCCTTTGTCAACTTATAAAACTTTAAGTCTACAAAAGATATAAATTATACCAAATACACAAACATTATAAATTATTCTAAGTCCACAAAGGACATAAAGTTTGACAAGTCCACAAACGATGAAGAATATTCCATGTCCTTTGTGTACTTAGAATAATTTATATCCTTTGTGGACTTTGAATATTGTTTATCCTTTGTGGACTTATAAAACTTCAAGTCCACAAATACTAGAAATTATTCCAAATACACAAACATTATAAATTATTCTAAGTACACAAAGGATATCAAGTTTGACAACTCCACAAACATAATACATTATTACAAGTCCACAAACAATAAACAATATTCCAAGTCCACAAAGTATATAAATTATTCTAAGTACACAAAGGATGAAGAATACTCTATGTCCTTTGTGGACTTGGAATAATTTATATCCTTTGTGGATTTGGAATATTGTTTATCCTTTGTCAACTTATAAAACTTTAAGTCTACAAAAGATATAAATTATACCAAATACACAAACATTATAAATTATTCTAAGTCCACAAAGGACATAAAGTTTGACAAGTCCACAAACGATGAAGAATATTCCATGTCCTTTGTGTACTTAGAATAATTTATATCCTTTGTGGACTTAGAATATTGTTCATCCTTTGTGGACTTCTAAAACTTCAAGTCCACAAACGATACACAATTATTCCAAGTACGCAAACATTATAAATTATTCCAAGTCCACAAAGGATATAAATTATTCCAAGTACACAAACATTATACATTATTCTAAGTACACAAAAAACATAGAATATTCTTCATCCTTTGTGGACTTGTCACACTTTATGTCCTTTCTGTACTTACAATAATTTATATCCTTTGTGGACTTAGAATATTGTTCATCCTTTATGGACTTATAAAACTTCAAGTCCACAAACGATATAAATTATTCCAAGTACAAAAACATTATAAATTATTCTAAATAAACAAAGGACATAAATTTTTACAAGTCCACAAACATGATCAATTAATCAAAGTCCACAAAGAATATACATTATTCTCAGTCCACATACATTGAAAATTAGTCCAAGTCCACAAAACATCACAACTATTCCAAGTCCACAAACATTATAAATTAATCAAACGATATACATTATTCTAAAACCATAAAACAATGAAAACTCCACAAAATATCAGAACTATTCAAAGTCCACAAACATTAGAAATTAATCAAAATCACCAAAGGATATACATTATTCCAAGTCCACAAAACATCACAACTATTCAAAGTCCACAAAACATCACAACTATTCAAAATCCACAAAACCTCAAAACTATTCAAAGTCCACACGGGATGAAAAATATTTTCCGTCCACAAAACATCACAACTATTCAAAGACCACAAAGGATATACATTATTCTAAATCCACAAAACATCACAACTATTCCAAGTCCACATAGATTAAAAAAGATTCAAAGTCGACACGGGACGGAAATTATTTGAAGTCCACAAAACGTCACAACTATTCAAAGTCCACACACATTATAAATTAATCAAAGGATATACAATATTCCAAGTCCACATACATTGAAAATTAGTCCAAGTCCACAAACATTATAAATTAATCAAAGTCACCAAAGGATATACATTATTCCAAATCCACAAAACATCACAACTATTCAAAGTCCACAAAACATCACAACTATTCAAAGTCCACAAAACATTACAACTATTCAAAGTCCACAAACACGATAAATTAATCAACGTCCACAAGAGATATACCTTATTCTAAATCCACAAAAGATGAAAAATATTTGAAGTCAACAAAACATCAGAACTATTCAAAGTCCACAGATTAAAAAATATTCAAAGTCCACACGGGACGGAAAATATTTTCGGTCCGCGGAGCGTCGGAACTATTCGGAGTCCACAAATCGTCAAAACTAGGCCGAGTCCACATACATTAACAAATATTCAAAGTCCACAAACGACGACAAATATTTTAACTCGACAAAACGTCAAAACTATTCAAACTCCACATACGTCAAAACGTATTCGACGTCCACACGGGACGGAAAATATTTCAAACTATTCACGGTCCACAAAATGTCACAACTATTCAAAGACCACAGAGGATATACATTATTCTAAATCCACAAAAAGATTCAAAGTCCACACGGGACAAAAATTATTTGAAGTCCACAAAACATCAGAACTATTCAAAGTCCACATACATTAAAACATATTCAAAGTCCACAAACGATATACATTATTCTCAGACCACAAAACATAAAACTATTAAAAGTCCACAAAACCTCAAAACTATTCAAAGTCCACAAACATCATAAATTAATCAAAGTCCACAAAAAATATACATTATTCTAAGTCCACATACATTGAAAATTAGGCCAAGTCCACAAAACATCACAACTATTCAAAATCCACATACATTAAAAAATATTCAAAATCCACAAAGGATATACATTATGCCAAGTCCACAAAACATCAGAACTATTCAAAGTCCACAAACACGATAAATTAATCAACGTCCACGAGAGATATACGTTATTCTAAGTCCACAGAGGATGAACAATATTTGAAGTCAACAAAACATCACAACTATTCAAAGTCCACAGATTAAAAAACATTCAAAGTCCACACGAGACGGAAATTATTTCAAGTCCACAAAACGTAACAACTATTCAAAGTCCACACACATTATAAATTAATCAAACGATATACATTAGTCCAAGTCCACAAACATTATAAATTAATCAAAGTCCACAAACATTATAAATTAATCAAACGATATACATTATTCTAAAACCATAAAACAATTAAAAGTCCACAAAATATCAGAACTATTCAAAGTCCACAAACATTAGAAATTAATCAAAGTCACCAAAGAATATACATTATTCCAAGTCCACAAAACATCACAACTATTCAAAGTCCACAAAACATCACAACTATTCAAAATCCACAAAACATCAAAACTTTTCAAAGTCCACAAACATGATAAATTAATCAAAGTCCACAAACGATATACATTATTCTAAGACCACAAAACAGAAAACTATTCAAAGTCCACAAAATATCAGAACTATTCAAATTCCACAAACAAAATAAATTAATCAAACGATATACATTATTCTAAGACCACAAAACATAAAACAATTAAAAGTCCACAAAATATCAGAACTATTCAAAGTCCACAAAACATCACAACTATTCAAAGTCCACAAAGGATATACATTATTCCATGTCCACAAAACATCACAACTATTCAAAGTCAACAAACATAATAAATTAATCAAAGTCCACAAAGAATATACATTATTCTAAGTCCACATACATTGAAAATTAGTCCAAGTCCACAACACATCAGAACTATTCAAAATCCACATATATTAAAAAATATTCAAAGTCCACACAGGACACAAATTATTTAAAGTCCACAAAACATCACAACTATTCAAACTCCACAAAACATCACAACTATTCAAAGTCCACAAAACATCAAAGCTATTCAAAGTCCACAAACATGATAAATTAATCAAAGTCCACAAAAGATATACATTATTCTAAGTCCACAAAGGATGAAAAATATTTGAACTCGACAAAACATCACAACTATTCAAAGTCCACAAAACATCAAAGCTATTCAAACTCCACAAACATGATAAATTAATCAAAGTCCACAAAAGATATACATTATTCTAACTCCACAAAGGATGAAAAATATATCAAGTCAACAAAACATCACAACTATTCAATATCCACATACATTACAAAATATTCAAAGTCCACACGGGATGAAAAATATTTCGAGTCCACACGCGATATACGGTATTCCGAGTCCACAAAACATCGTGACTATTCAAAGTTCACAAACATTATAAATTAATCAAAGTCCACAAATGATATACATTATTCCAAAATCATTACAAGACGTGCATCACTTTTACGCCTAAACAAATTAAAATCCTGTTTACGGGAATCCCGCTGCGCCGGCACAAAATGTACGTCGCGCCGCTCCGTCGACGAGCGTCTTCTTCTGCGTCGACGAGCGTCTTCTTCTGCGTCGACGAGCGTCTTCCCTCGTCGGCGGGCGTCTTCTTCCCGTGTTCCCCGGCGTCTTCCCGGCGCTCCGAACGGCGTCTTCGTCCGCAGCGACTCCGACGGGCTCTCGGACGCCGACCGCGCCTTCCGTCTCCGCCCGCGTCTCTCGCTCGTCTGCAACCGAAACGGAAAGATTACCGTAAAATATATAAACATTTATGTAATAATACGGAGTATCCTACTTCCCAAACAAACTTCAATTAAAACATCAGAATTCATTGTTTCTACAGTATACACTCACCCCACACAAACATATCTACAGTATACACTATTGCCATCTAAACCACACATACACGAGCATACCCGCTGCAATTTACAAACTGCGCCGCCGCACTCGTCTGCCCCGCGATTACGTGCCGCGGGCGTTAATTCGGCCGTGCGCGAGTGCCCGCGACGGCGACCGCGCGACGCCCCAAATTCCGTCTCCGGTCCGTACCGCACGCGACCGTAAACGGCCCCCGCCCGGGGACGTTCTTCGCTCCGTCGTGACGGAGACGATCGCGATACTGCATTGCAATATATCCCCCACAATATACATACAATAACACCTACTTACAATACACAATAAAAATTAGGACAGAAATACATATACTTGCTACTACATTCTTAACCCTTACACCCGAGGTCACATTCCACGACGTCCGTCTATTCTCCCCGTTTTTTTATTAAGAGGGGGGTTGATCTCGTTTCTCGATTTATCCCCACGCGAAAGGGAGGGTACGTGCCGGTGGCGCCCTAACCCGTGGCTTGTGGGTTAAACTCCCATGTTTTAATAATACTTTTCATATTGTATCCAACACTTTTACACCACATATGAGACCTTCAATACTATACCTCTATGCTAAGTTAAGTACTCGCATTATAACGCTCGTAATATCGATCCCTCTACGGTCTACGCGTTTTCGACGGCACCCGAGTCTTGTCGTCCGTGACGTTTTCGTTTCTCGGTCGTCGTCTCTGCGTTCTACTCTTTTACTCGTACGTTCCCGTCTCGTTTCCTCCCTCTCGCCGGTCGGGACTTCCTTCCGTATCTCGTGCGAGTTCGCGGCGGACGGAGCGACCGCGTATTCCGTGATTACGCGTACAAATGAACGGCGTCGACGTGCAATTTTCGACGTTCCGTGCGTCGTGAAGTGTATCCGACGTGATAGAATGTCACTTTATATTCCTAATTGAAAAATAGAAACGGAATGTCTCCAATATTTTACGGACCAAAACGATTTCTTCCAATTACCGCGTTCTCCCGGTCCGAAATACGGAATGAATCGCGTATAAAAATGCCAAATTTTCTCGCGGTGCGAACCGGTCCGCGGGAACGCCTCCGCCCGGCCTTGACACTCACACTTTATAAGTATACTCACATATTTTATAACAAACTCCAATATAAACTTATCAATTACTTTTACTATTAACATCAACACTAATAACTGGTCACTTTGACTAAATATATGTCGTGTAATCACAGAAAATGTTAAAATATTAGTAAGGTGATCATCATATACTATAAAACCTCTTCAATAAACACAAGTGGAATGAACTACAGGTGGTAGGAGGAAAACGTGGTATGTGGAGAGAGGGGTGGAAGGGAGGTAGGAGGTAGGTGGTAAGTGGGGGTGGTGGTGGTGGTGGTGGTGGTGGTGGTGGGAGGGACACAGGGAAGGAGAAGTGGTATATGGAGAGAGGGATGGAAGGGTGTTAGATGCTAAGCGGTGGCAGAGAGAGACAGCTGGTATGTAAAGAGAGGGAGGAGTGGTATGTAGAGGGAGGAAGGGAAGAGTGGTAGGTGGAGAGAGGGAAGGCTGGTAGGTGGAGGGAGCAAGAGAGGGACTGGTGGTATAAGGACAAAGGCAGAGGTGGTAGATGGAGAGAAGGAAAAAGGAAGAGTAATAAGTGGAGGAAGGGAAGGAGAAGTGGTAGGTGGAGAGAAAGAAAGGTGTTAGCTGGAAGAAGGGAGAGTTAGTGGTATGTGAAGGGGTGATACGTGAAGCGAGGAAGGGGTGCTATGTGGAAGGAGAAAGGGATGATACATGGAGGGAGGAAAGGGTGATACATGGAGGGAGAAAGAGGTGATATGTGGAAGGAGGTTCAGGTGGTAGGTGCAGGGAAGGAGGGATGGTATAGTCATCAAACCATCTTCTCAACTGCTGGATCACATCATCATAATCATCACCACCATTGTTTTGTGGGTCAACCGTCGGGCAACTTTTACTGTTCTCGCTTATTGAAATACCGTACGTTACAAATACGCGTATAATGTGACCGTAAGCTAAAATATCTGTTCGTTGACCTTTGCTAATCCTTAAAATAGCATCCATAAAAATAGAAAAACGCGTAGGTCGTTCTCCGCGGTCGTCTTGCGTCGGAGAGCGGCGCTCGGGGAGTGCCGACCCGTCTCCGTACGGAACGTGCCGTCCCGGAAGCCGCCGCCGGCGGTGACGGTCGTTCGTCGCGCCCGCCTTCCGACGTCTCCCGGCTCGCGTGTAATGATTGATTGTTCGGACCAAAGCTTACAGCCCAGAATTATGTCACATGTAACAGCAAGCACACTACAGACCTCGTGGCACCACCACATCCCGGGTTGACACACCTCGGGTCGACCCTAGGGACTTGACCTCGTCCGCTAATGACTCGAGTTAGCCGGGTGACCTACAACCGCACCTAACCAAGACACCTGGGCAGGACGACACCTGCACACAGCCGTCCAGACCTGACACTAGGGAACCAGAATTCTCACCACCACTCGATCAGCTCTACCCGGCATCATGACCTTAGTAATTCAAGGACCCGCTAATTAGCCAACACTCCTGTTGACCCAACAACCCGGTCAAGACACACCCAGTTCAGTAGGAGAGGTCACCCCCCCGGCTCGACCAATATATAGGGGCTGGAGCTCCTCTCACGCAGAGAGTGTCTGTAACCAGGAAGGGCCAGCTACCAGGTCCCCGAGTCCCGCTCGAGAGAAGACCGCCACTAAGTGTAACGAAGTCTCAGCCCGTGTCCATCGACAGAGTGCTGTCAACTCCACGTGTAACAGTAAGTGCTGGCTGTGTAGTCTGTGGAAGTGCAGTGATCCCGAACCTCCCCAACGATCGACTTAGTGAAGTGCCCATTCTAATTGTGAGGTTAGGTTATACGAGAATACCATAGTCTATCATAAATTGTGTACGAACACCCCTATTAATCCCCCCCTATTGAACTAGTAAAATAAAGCTGTAACACGCATTGGTGTTTTATATACTACACTTGTACTGTGCCTGTGTTAATATACAGTGTTGACATCACACCCTCGAGACACGCTACCATTTCCTCTCGCTATAATACTCTACTACTATAAACTCCTAACTTACCTCTTCGTGTGAGATTTTCTCTCATTACACGCACTTCCGCGGACGACTGCCGCCGTTCCCCGAGGCGGCTTCTTCTGTGGATTAAGTTTGCAATGTGAATGCTGCCTGCATCTAATAATTATACTGCACTACATCTTTATAACCACTGCATAAGGTATTAAAAATCAATCGTAATGCCCTCGTGCAATGTCGCGTCGATCGATTTCGTCTATGCGGCGCGTCGGCGACCGGAGAGTCGACTGGAAGGAGGAGCGTCCCGGGCCGGCGGCGGAACCGGCGCGCGGTCGTAACCGGTCCGTCGCTGGAGAGGGCAACGAACCGCACGCGACATTTTAAACGGACGGGCGGTTCTCCGGCGTCCGTGCGCGTGCTCCGCAATGGCCGAAACTTCGGCGGGACCGCATTCGCGGACCGACTCGAGACGGAGGCCGGCCACGGGCCGCCTTCGGCACGCCCGGGACTCCGTCCGTTCGCGACGAAAACCGCCGCGACTATTTACCGAACGTAGACGCGCCGGCCGGTGACGTCGCATGCCGTTACTTGAAGTGAATTGGCCTTATTTTAAATAACTACCATAAATAAACACACATATTACAAACAAAAAAACACAAGTGAGAAACAATCGACTGTATGTATGTTGTGTTGTCAAAGTAACACAAAGGGTCGAAACCGCAATTGCGTGTAAACGGGGCACGGAGTCGCGTCGGCGACCCGTGACTCGGTCCCATTTTTCGTGATGCCGTGGGGCAGCGGGGTCTACCGTTACGACACGCGTCGTGCTTCCGATGTCTTCCCGGGCGATGGTATCTACCCGTTTGGTAGCTGCCTACTACCCACACAATTTTTAGTAATATTACTTTGATACGTCATAAATTAGACAAACGACGAAAATAAACATCAAATTTATTTACCGACGCGCTTCCCGTCGGCAGCCGTGAGAGAGGGAGATTGGGCTACTTTTATCCCGTCTCCGTGTCTCGAGTGGAAGGTGACGCCCTATATTTACCGATCGTAATACTTATCTCCCATAAATAATTCATTTAAAATTAATTTTTTTTACGCGCAATATTCGGTACGCGACTCCGATCGTAAAATGCCGCGAACGACACGACGTGCGCAGTAGATGCGTAATCTTTTTCGCTCGAATCCCAATGAAATGCCACAATTAGAACACGGTACCCGTTGTATAAACGGTCGGAACGCAGTCCCGCCGCCGATCAATCGTCTCTTGCGAAACGAGCTCATGAATTAAAGAAAATACTTGCACTGTGTTTAATATGTTACAGTATATTATAAATAAATAAATATAAAAATAAATCGGTAAATCCGTTTCAAGTAAATGCAAAAATTTTACTCCACACCAACATTAATTCCACTCGCCGGTAAATGGCAGACGCTCGAGTGACGTCGCCGGTGACGTTACTTCGAGTCAATTGGCCTTATTTTTAAAAACCGAGGATGGTTGGTAAAGGACTACTGGGTCCATAAGGTCCCAATGGTAAGTGTCACATTTGGGGTACCAGTCTCATGCAGCCTTATTTATAAATGGAAATTTTGGGGGTCGTCTCAAACGCCCGGTCGCCTCGTAGGCCGAGATGTGAGGCGATGCAATATTAACGATGTGAAATTTGTCTCGGCATGCCTTATCGTGGGTCAAAATAAGTACCGTATATATTGAGTGCATCCTCCAAAAGCGTCAACTTCCTACCCGAGTTTAACGATGGACCGACCGCGTGCTCGTGTTTAAAATGGTGAATGTACGTATCTTTATATAATCTAGATACCTTTTTAGATCGATGTTTATCTTCTATTATCCACAAATCGGATGTACTTGGAATCTGTGAGACCAAACTCACTAACAATATTGACCGTCTGTATAACATTCCTAATTATAATAGACGCTGCGTCGACACGTCACGACACGGTGGAGGTGGCGTCGCCCCGTGTGTTGATGTCGAGTATAACACTTCTGTGAGAGAGGATTTAAAGGTTCGGGAGGAGTACTCGGAGAGTGTTTTCGTTGAATTTCGTAACGACGCCCGAAATATCCAAGTGGGGATGACCTACGGAAGACCTCACACTAATGTCGGAAATTTTCTTCATAAATTTTCGGAGCTCATCTCTATCGTAAGTTCCGAAAGGAAAGACTGCTTCGTCGCGGGAGATTTCAACCTCAATCTATTAAAATGAGAAACCTACACCTCGGTATTAGACCTTCTTGCTACCTGTCATTCTAAACTCTTCTTCAACACTAAAACCAAACCCACTAGAGTAACTGCCACCTCTGCCACTGAGATAGATCATACCTGGACTAGCAACACTCCTAACAACCTAGCAAGTGCAATTATTTATAACAATATCTCACATCACTTCCCAGTTTTTGCCATATATAAAACAGCCACAAGACCTGAAAGGTCTAGTAGAGTCTCAATTCAATACACCGACAACATGCTCCTTTTTGAAAACAACCTAATGAATGCTAACCGGGATCTTGTCTATGCCTACGACAACCCTCACGTGAACGGCCGTAACTTCTCTGGCATCTTCGATGCTCGCTTTGATAAATGCTTCCCGCTCAAGACTAAGTCAGCGAAAACTGTATCCATTTCCAAACCCTATATCACAAGCGAAATTAAGATAACGATAAAGGAAAAACACAAACTCCAAAGGAAATTTGCAAAAAGACCCATAACTTTCGGTGATGCTTACCGAAGTAGAGTAACGCCGGCAGTTACAAATGCCAGACGTAACTATTATACTAACGAGCTCCGGTCCTAAATTCTATTCAGAAAGGGAACACTCGGCCTTCGGCCCCCCACTCGGCTTTTACGATAAACGATTCGGTTATAACGCAACCCTCCCTCATTGCCAACCACTTCAATGAATATTTTATTAATATTGGCAAAAATCTTGCACAGCATCCCTGATCACCATGAGGAATTTAGAGCCTACCTGCAAAACAGACAGCAAAATGAACTATTCTTATCCCCTGTCACAGCAGATGAATTACTGGCAATCATTAAAATGTCCAAAGATGCAGCAGCAGGCGAAGACAATATACCAATGAGCATCATTAAAAAAGTGGCCCACTTATTTCTACCTGTTCTCCTCCACATTTGTAACTCCTCCTTCACTAGTGGTGTCTTTCCTGATAAACTGCAAATTGCTAAAGTTCGCCCGGCATATAAAAAATCTGGGGACAGAAGTCTCTTCAAGAAATCCCGCCCCATAGCAGTCCTCCCACCCTTCAGTGAGATACTGGAAAAGCTAGCATGTTATAGACTAAATTCCTTCTGCAATGCCAATGATAATCTTTACAGACTCCCAGTTTCGATTTAGAGCTAGAAGGTCAACTGACAGTGCTCTACTATCCTTTACTAATGACATCTTAAATGCCTTTGATGACAGTTGGTTCACGGTCAGTATATTCTTTGACCCCTCTAAAGCCTTCGATACTGTCGACCACACCATCCACCTTTCAAATCTTGAACATTACGGCATTACGGGCCCGTCCCACAATTGGTTTACCTCATATCTGTCCAACAAGATGCAGTATGTCTGTTATAATATCCATCAATCTGACTCCTAGCCAATATTGTATGGACTCCCCCAAGATTCAATTCTCGGTCCAGTACCGTTTTAGTTGTACATAAACGACATAGTCCACGCCAGCTCACTCATAAAATACAACTTATTTGCAGATGATAGTAATCTCTATGCCAACAACTCAGACCTCCATTCCTTGATGAGAACTACGAACACCAAATTAACTTAAGTCGGGACCTGGGAAATACGTAATAAACCGACCCTAAATCTCCAGAAAATCCACTACACGATCTTTCGCAGAAGAAAAACTTGCCTCCAGACTTGAACAAAATACTAAATTCCTCGGAGTTATTGTCGACGAGAAACTTAACTGGAGAAACCACATACAAGCCATTCACAATAAAATCATTAAACAGTGCGGTATCGTGTATCACACTCGACAGTCACTCACTCTCACAGCAATGAAAGAAATCTATCTTGATCTTCTGTACCAACACCTGATACACTGTCACACACTATGGGGGTCTCTGGCTATTCAAAAACACAATCTCTGGTTACTGCACAAGAGAGAGTTGTACAGACAATGACCTACTTGAAAAAAACAGACCACACAAACGAAAAATTTGCTATATTGAAAATTTAAAAATTCAAAGATATTATCACTTACTGCTGTGCCCTCTTTGTTTACAAATCTATGAATCACTTGCTTGACAATAATTACTTCCAGTTCCGGAATAATCAGAGATACAACTTAAGGCACCCTGAGCTACTAACACCACTCCCCATGCGCTCCTCTCAGTCCCAGACCTCCATAAAATATCATGGTGTGAAGGTGTGGAACAACTTACCCCCACCCATCCATCAAAGACTACGCTCCCTTCCTTTAAATCATCTCTAAAAAAATATCTATTGTCGAAGTATTAATATTTCTTGTAACACTTACTATATTTACAATACCTACTTTTATTGTACCACCAAATAAGTTTCATCGGAAATTATCATGTAAATAAATAAGTAATTACCATTGCAATACAAATAGTTGCCTACTAGACATAATCCTGAAAGCTCTGTCCTCTTGTTCAACCTTATTACTGCACAACCCAGGTTGTACTGCTCCCCCATAATACTTATGTTTTTAAATTCCACTCTAATTTATATGTATGTATGTATGTATGTATGTATGTGTATATATATATATATATATATATATATATATATATATATATATATATATATATATATATATATATATATATATATATATATATATATATATATATATATATATATATATATATATATGCAAGTAGGCTCAGCCATGTTAATATTGTTATTTCTATCCACTCTGTATCTGCATTTTTCTGGCTAAATAAGATGTTTCAATTCAATGTCGTCAACAACTATATTATGCATATCGGTACGAATGAAACCGTTACGACGACACGACGGTGAAATGTCTGCCCCGAGGTACGTCTCGGTCTCGCTTCTGACGTTCCAAAACTCTTCCATTTCACGTATATTTTGATATTATTGTAATCCTCGGTTGGGGCCTTGCTTCTACCCAACACGATACATACATTAATATAGCTTAATGGATTTCTTATTATAGTAAAGCATATACTGTACAGTTGTATGTCACACAAAGATGACTCCCTCTCTCGCTACCCGCAGTCTATAGCCGTTGCCGATATAGTGACCGGGTGTACCTGTACCAACTTATGCTGATGCACTGGGGATCACATCAATCTATTTCATCTAGCGTTTCAAATTTTACCGCTAAAAAATCTATCGATACTTTTTGGTGACTACATAATTTGGGGGGGAACTTTTTACATTGTAGAAAAGTATCTTGACTTTTATAATGTGAGTCTATCGGAATATTGATTCGATTTACTATAGGTTTTTATAACACACAGTACAGGTACTCTTATAAACTGGGGAATGCCTGTAGAACTTTCCTAACATTCAAAGTACCACAACAATATGAAATACAATACCACAGACTACTTCAGGTCCACTTCACTGCAGGTCCAGTTAACTTTATATCCAGCCAACTTCATTCTAGTTCACATCAGGTCCAAATGTTCAGGTCCACTTTAGGCAGTGATGGAGAAAGTACCTGAAAATATTACTTAAGATAAAGTACTGCACTGTTGATATGCAAACATTTAAACTGAGTACCAAGTACTGCAGTCTTCTTCAAAACTATGCAAATAAAAGTTTCATTAACTGAATTGAAACATACAAGCAGAAAAAGGTATAAAAAGTAGTACAACATTTGTAAAGAATCGTAATTAATAAACAATGACATTATGTTTTGAAAACGAACCTCCAAGTTATTAATAAACTGTACTGTACTTTAGAGAAAAACTAAATAAACACACATTCAAAATTTTCTATGGGATGGAAAACGTGGAGAGGTCCCGTACCGCCGACACCAATGGGACGTGACTTTATACACAAACATTTACATAAATGACCACTTTTATAGGATTACTGTACAAGTGCACTTAAATACAAGTCCTCTAATACACTCGGCTTGTACGCCCGGCGACACGACGTGAAGTGACGACGTCGGTCTCGCCTCCTACGAGTCGGCGGCGTTTCTCCGGTTGCCGTTAACGGCGTCGTATACGAGACCGGACGGGTCTGTACGGTCGAGTCTGAACTTGTCATACTGAGATGTGTTGTTGGTCCTTGAAGCAGGGGTTATTTGACCAGTACTCGGCACAATAACCACTGGTTATTTGATCGAGATCTAAAACAAAACTAAATCCTTTTGCCCACAGAAATTATACAATTAAATATTACCATAATGTAATGACTTGTTTAATGTCCCCAACCATCCCGACTACAATCCCACTAAAATCCCATACGATCCCCGCAGGTCCCGGTCAAATAGTCGACGGTTATTTGGCCCAGAATCCGGGTCAAATAACAACTTTGTATTAAAAATAAACGTTACTTATTAGTTTACTACCACATGGACAAACTGATTACTCAAATAGGTTAGGGTAGGTTGAAATTATCTTGTTCCAATGGTTTTTTATTTATTTTGAACTTTTATGACCTTCGGAAAGTAGGCGCACGGCCGAAACGATAATTTTACCCGTTTTTATATGTATTTTTTCTAATAAATAAATATGACCTAATTTCCTTACACTAACAAAAACAATGAATCTTCCAAACATGAAGGGTTAAAAAAACAACATTGAAAACCCTACCTAACCTAATCTAAACTACCCGACTTCTTGCGACGGACGAGCAAAAACTTAATCGGCATGCCCGGTTTCGTACACGTCCAATAGCGTTTACATTTCGCAGACGTGACCGACGTAGAACGAAACTACGACGATGTCGACGGATTCTTATTGTGCTGCCGGGAGAAACACAATTTTGCGGGATTTATTATTTAAATCTTTCACTCGAATTTCACATAATCTGCTGTGACCAATCAGAGGACAGTTCAAATCTATTGTGATGTTTACGCAGGAGCAAAAACTTTTTTTCTAGATATATTTAAGCCTTCCTCGTGACCTAAACGTTGAAGACAAGAAGTGACTCGCTGACAAAACATTAAAACACAAAAAAACAAAACATTAAAGAAATAACTTTTTCTGTTATCATTAGTTAAATACAGCTACTCCTCGACTTACGACCGCCTCGGTCGTACCAAAATTTTGTCAAATTACCTATTTTCAAATCCCAGCGTTAGTGATTGCGCCGTGTACTGAAAATTTTTGGTTTGTAATTCCCTTTAAAATGGCTGGCAAGCGTAAGAGTGAGAGTTCTCGTGGTGCCGAGAAGAAAAAAGAGACGCCCATTTTAGATTTTCTATGTACAGTATTATTTTCGCCTTGCGACCCGGTCGCCGGTCCCTAACCCCGTCGTAAGTCGGGGACCGACCGTATCGTAATGTGCTGGGTATATATTGCTCTACTGTACTGTATATCATTATCTACAAGAGTTAAGTTGGACTCGCAAACAAGCCTCGGGAACTCGACTCGTTTGTCTGTCGAGAAGCTCCTATATTGGCAATCGAGGCTTCAGAGCAATGTTACACAACCCGTTTCAGAATTGTTGCTAACTCTACATCTACACCTTTGAGCACGAATGAGTATACAGTCATGTGCCGGTTAACGTCCTAGATACGTACTTGGAAACGTGACGTTAACCGAAATGGACGTCGTCCGATCGTCGCATAAACTTTGTATCTATACTTACGTGTATGTGGAATACTATATACGCTTTTACTCTTAAATCACTACTGTAATGTGATACAGGTGATTAATTTTTATCTCTTATGCAAATTACATAACGTTTATATTAAAATTATTCACTGTTTTACAAGGATTCCAGCAAAGCTGGGCAGATGGGGCAGAGGGAGAGAGCGAGGGGGCGTGGTTTCACAGTTGGCACAGGCCCAGGTCTAACGCATGTATATTTATCAGTTCTTAAGTGACTAAGCTTCTCTCTTATAAAAAGACAGTGAAATGACTTGGGAGAATATAATTAACATTGCTGGGATTCTTGTAACATACTGATTAATTTGAATATAGACATGCTGTAATTTGCACTAGACATAACAATTTTAGTACCGTAATCAAATAAGTACATGTACACTCCAGCTTTGCACTAACGTCATTTATTTCTTTTACGTTTCTTTTAGTATGGTCTGTGCATGTAAATGGACGACAATAAATGAAGAAATTTATGTAAATCTACCCAAAAATACAGTTGATAAACTTTATATTATAAAATGTACTACAGTATTGTATACTAATGTACTACAATTTTTATATCTTGAGCAAAATATATGACGTTTATATTCAAATTATTGGCTGTCTTGCAAGGATTCCAGCAATGCAAATTGTAATCTCCTAACTTTAGTCTGAGATATCATATAAAATAAACACCTTAAAGCATAAAATTATCACCAATGTTGTGTCTGGGAACACAAGGAGAGAGGTAGCCAGCGAGCGTGGGAAGAGGGGGGGGGGAGGAGGTTGAGGTGACAGTGTCTGGTGTTTGTTTATTTATTTGACATAAGATTTGACAGTTGGCGCTGAAGGCTTGCGTGTTTATTTATCGTTACTCGAGAGTGACACGGCTCTTCTCTTAATTTGCCACCCAAACGACCTGGGTGAATATAACTTACATTGCTGGGATTCTTGTAAGATGGTATTTGAATACCTGTATAAACAATCTATATTTGCAATAGACATAACAATTTAAGTACCGTAATCATTTAGTACATGTACAGTACAGGTTTGTTCCATTGTTAACCGAGGGACCACTGTATTGCAGTGTACTTGTACTGTACAATAATGACTAAATTCACTAGACAACTAATGGTTAGTAAAACTTGTCAAGTGAGTGAGTGTCAAGTCCATCAGTATAAGTGGCACGTGTGAGTCCTCGCGTCCCCCGTCGTAGGAGTCCGTTTTCTCTCGCTTCGGGACGCGCGAATCCGTTTTCTCTTAATCTTAGAGTGCAGTGCACCAAAAACTTCATTATTCCTTAGTAATGACACAGAATTTGAAATTGCAACCCCAATTGCAACTGGAGTTGCAAATGTTGAGCCAACTAGATATGTCTGATTACAGCAAATGTCTTATTGTCAATTTGTAGGTGAAAGATTTTATCCTCAATAGATGTAGGTTAACATTACACCTGGAGGAAAATGCTTACTAAAGCCTAAGGAAGGATATTCCTTTAACACATAATATCTGGCCAGTACGGGAAGGATCGTCGTGTCTCCGTCGGGGGGTCGTGGAGTGGTGGTCCGGCAGGCGTCACGGAAGTGTTTTTTGGAGAGGCCACGGACGTATGTGCGATCGGACGTTGTTCGGTTGGACGTTAACCGGCGCACGACTGTACGTATTTTTGAAAGATGCAAATCCTACGAGGATTCGGATCGCGCATTATGCAAATTCGCATTGTGTGTCGTAAATGGACGCCAACGCCGTGCCGGTCAATAATGGGATCACACATCAAATGAACAGAGGAATTATTAGAAAGACACAACGGGACGAGAGGTGCTATTATTGGCCTTCGCGACGAGGGCATACGTAATGCTCGGATAACTTGCCAGTCTGGGGCGAGTGAACCCACGGGCATCGCGATGGGTTACCCGACACGAAACGACCGGCGACGCGCCGATTTAAAATCTTATTTTGGCATTAAACCGATACAATTTACGTATCAATAATATTTGGCAGATCCCATTTACACCAATAAAGTGTATATTGCTGTAGCCGTTCACTCTAATATCAACTACTATTTGCTTACTCACTCCTCATAAATCATACGTGTCGTCAACAACTATATTATGCAACTCGGTACGAATGAAACGGTTACTACGACACAATGGTGAAATGTCTGCCCCGAGGTACGTCTCGGTCTCGCTCGTGACGTTCCGAAACTCTTCCGTTTAATGTATATTTTGATATTATTGTAATCCTCGGTTGGGGCCTTGCTTCTACCCAGCACGATACATACATTAATATAGCTTAATGGATTTCTTGTTATAGTAAAGCATATACTGTACGGTTGTATGTCACGCGAGGATGACTCCCTCTCTCGCTACCCGCCGTCTATGGCTGTTGCTCATATAGTGACCGGATGTACCTGTACCAATTTATGCTGATGCACTGGAGATCACATCAAAGTCTTTCACCCAGCGTTTCAAATTTTACCGCTAGAAAATCTATCAATACTTTTTGGAGACTACATAATTGAGGGGGAACTTTTTTCATTGAAGAAAAGTATCTTGGCTTTTATAATGTGAGTCTATAGGAATATTGATTCGATTTACCATAGGTTTTTATAAGACACAGTACTCTTACAAACTGGGGAATGCCTGTACAACTTTCCTAACATTCAAAGTACCACAACAATATTAAATACAATACCACAGACTACTTGAGGTCCAGTTAGCTTCAGGTCCACTTCGCTGCAGGTCCAGTTAACTTTATATCCAGCCAACTTCATTCTAGTTCACATCAGGTCCAAAAGTTCAGGTCCACTTTAGGCAGTGATGGAGAAAGTACCTGAAAATATTACTTAAGATAAAGTACGGCACTGTTGATATGTAAACATTTAAACTATGTACTGTAGTCTTCTTCAAAACTATGCAAATAAAAGTTTAATTAACTCAACTGAATCATACAAGTATAAAAAGTAGCACAGTATTTGTAGAGTATCATAATAAATAAACAATGAAATTATGTTTTGAAAACGAACCTCCAAGTTATTAATATACTGTACTGTACTCTAGAGAAAAACTAAATAAACACACATTCAAAATTTGGTATGGGATGGAAAACGTGAATCTGGGCCACAGTTTTGAGAGGTCCCGTACCACCGACACCAATGGGACGTGACTTTAGACACAAACATTTACATAAATGACCACTTTTATAGGATTACCGTACAAGGGCACTTAAATACAAGTCCTCTAATACACTCGGCTTGTACGCCCGACGACACGACGTGAAGTGACGACGTCGGTCTCGCCTCCTACGAGTCGGCAGCGTTTCTCCGGTTGCCGTTAACGGCGTCGTATACGAGACCGGACGGGTCTGTACGGTCGAGTCTGAACTTGTCATACTGAGATGTGTTGTTGGTCCTTGAAGCAGGGATTATTTGACCAGTACTCGGCACAATAACCACTGGTTATTTGATCGAGATCTAAAACAAAACTAAATCCTTTTGCCCACAGAAATTATACAATTAAATATTACCATAATGTAATGACTTGTTTAATGTCCCCAACCATCCCGACTACAATCCCACTAAAATCCCATACGATCCCCGCAGGTCCCGGTCAAATAGTCGACGGTTATTTGGCCCAGAATCCGGGTCAAATAACAACTTTGTATTAAAAATAAACGTTACTTATTAGTTTACTACCACATGGACAAACTGATTACTCAAATAGGTTAGGGTAGGTTGAAATTATCTTGTTCCAATGGTTTTTTATTTATTTTGAACTTTTATGACCTTCGGAAAGTAGGCGCACGGCCGAAACGATAATTTTACCCGTTTTTATATGTATTTTTTCTAATAAATAAATATGACCTAATTTCCTTACACTAACAAAAACAATGAATCTTCCAAACATGAAGGGTTAAAAAAACAACATTGAAAACCCTACCTAACCTAATCTAAACTACCCGACTTCTTGCGACGGACGAGCAAAAACTTAATCGGCATGCCCGGTTTCGTACACGTCCAATAGCGTTTACATTTCGCAGACGTGACCGACGTAGAACGAAACTACGACGATGTCGACGGATTCTTATTGTGCTGCCGGGAGAAACACAATTTTGCGGGATTTATTATTTAAATCTTTCACTCGAATTTCACATAATCTGCTGTGACCAATCAGAGGACAGTTCAAATCTATTGTGATGTTTACGCAGGAGCAAAAACTTTTTTTCTAGATATATTTAAGCCTTCCTCGTGACCTAAACGTTGAAGACAAGAAGTGACTCGCTGACAAAACATTAAAACACAAAAAAACAAAACATTAAAGAAATAACTTTTTCTGTTATCATTAGTTAAATACAGCTACTCCTCGACTTACGACCGCCTCGGTCGTACCAAAATTTTGTCAAATTACCTATTTTCAAATCCCAGCGTTAGTGATTGCGCCGTGTACTGAAAATTTTTGGTTTGTAATTCCCTTTAAAATGGCTGGCAAGCGTAAGAGTGAGAGTTCTCGTGGTGCCGAGAAGAAAAAAGAGACGCCCATTTTAGATTTTCTATGTACAGTATTATTTTCGCCTTGCGACCCGGTCGCCGGTCCCTAACCCCGTCGTAAGTCGGGGACCGACCGTATCGTAATGTGCTGGGTATATATTGCTCTACTGTACTGTATATCATTATCTACAAGAGTTAAGTTGGACTCGCAAACAAGCCTCGGGAACTCGACTCGTTTGTCTGTCGAGAAGCTCCTATATTGGCAATCGAGGCTTCAGAGCAATGTTACACAACCCGTTTCAGAATTGTTGCTAACTCTACATCTACACCTTTGAGCACGAATGAGTATACAGTCATGTGCCGGTTAACGTCCTAGATACGTACTTGGAAACGTGACGTTAACCGAAATGGACGTCGTCCGATCGTCGCATAAACTTTGTATCTATACTTACGTGTATGTGGAATACTATATACGCTTTTACTCTTAAATCACTACTGTAATGTGATACAGGTGATTAATTTTTATCTCTTATGCAAATTACATAACGTTTATATTAAAATTATTCACTGTTTTACAAGGATTCCAGCAAAGCTGGGCAGATGGGGCAGAGGGAGAGAGCGAGGGGGCGTGGTTTCACAGTTGGCACAGGCCCAGGTCTAACGCATGTATATTTATCAGTTCTTAAGTGACTAAGCTTCTCTCTTATAAAAAGACAGTGAAATGACTTGGGAGAATATAAATAACATTGCTGGGATTCTTGTAACATACTGATTAATTTGAATATAGACATGCTGTAATTTGCACTAGACATAACAATTTTAGTACCGTAATCAAATAAGTACATGTACACTCCAGCTTTGCACTAACGTCATCTATTTCTTTTACGTTTCTTTTAGTATGGTCTGTGAATGTAAATGGACGACAATAAATGAAGAAATTTATGTAAATCTACCCAAAAATACAGTTGAAAAACTTTATATTATAAAATGTACTACAGTATTGTATACTAATGTACTACAATTTTTATATCTTGAGCAAAATATATGACGTTTATATTCAAATTATTGGCTGTCTTGCAAGGATTCCAGCAATGCAAATTGTAATCTCCTAACTTTAGTCTGAGATATCATATAAAATAAACACCTTAAAGCATAAAATTATCACCAATGTTGTGTCTGGGAACACAAGGAGAGAGGTAGCCAGCGAGCGTGGGAAGAGGGGGGGGGGGGGGGGGGGGAGGTGAGGTGAGGTTCAAAGTTTATTTATTTATTTGACATAAGATTTGGATAGTTGGCGCCAAGGCCCATGGTTATTCATCATACTTCGAGAGTGACTCGCTCTTCTCTTTAATTCCATGCCCAAACGACTCCGTGAATATAACTTACATTACTGGGATTCCTAAGATGGTATTTGAATACCTGTATAAACAATCTATATTTGCAATAGACATAACAATTTAAGTACCGTAATCATTTAGTACATGTACAGTACAGGTTTGTTCCATTGTTAACCGAGGGACCACTGTATTGCGGTGTACTTGTACTGTACAATAATGACTAAATTCACTAGATAACTAATGGTTGGTAAAACTTGTCAAGTGAGTGAGTGTCAAGTCTGTCAGTATAAGTGGCACGTGTGAGTCCTCGCGTCCCCCGTCGTAGGAGTCCGTTTTCTCTCGCTTCGGGACGCGCGAATCCGTTTTCTCTTAATCTTAGAGTGCAGTGCACCAAAAACTTCGTTATTCCTTAGTAATGACACAGAATTTGAAATTGCAACCCCAATTGCAACTGGAGTTGCAATTGTTGAGCCAACTAGATATGTCTGATTACAGCAAATGTCTTATTGTCAATTTGTAGATGAAAGATTTTATCCTCAATAGATGTAGGTTAACATTACACCTGGAGGAAAATGCTTACTAAAGCCTAAGGAAGGATATTCCTTTAACACATAATATCTGGCCAGTACGGGAAGGATCGTCGTGTCTCCGTCAGGCGTCACGGAAGTGTTTTTTGGAGAGGCCACGGACGTATGTGCGATCGGACGTTGTTCGGTTGGACGTAAACCGGCGCACGACTGTACGTATTTTTGAAAGATGCAAATCCTACGAGGATTCGGATCGAGCATTGTGTGTCGTAAATGGACGCCAACGCCGTGCCGGTCAATAATGGGATCTCACATCAAATGAACCGAGGAATTATTGGAAAGACACAACGGGACGAGAGGTGCTATTATTGGCCTTCGCGACGAGGGCATACGTAATGCTCGGATAACTTGCCAGTCTGGGGCGAGTGAACCCACGGGCATCGCGATGGGTTACCCAACACGAAACGGCCGGCGACGCGCCGATTTAAAATCATATTGTGGCATTAAACCGATACCATTTACGTATCAATAATATTTGGCAGATCCCATTTACACCAATAAAGTGTATATTGCTGTAGCCGTTCACTCTAATATCAACTACTATTTGCTTAGTCACTCCTCATAAATCATACGTGTCGTCAACAACTATAGTATTATGCATCTCGGTACGAATGAAACCGTTACAACGACGCAATGGTGAAATGTCTGCCCCGAGATACGTCTCGGTCTCGCTTCTGACGTTCCAAAACTCTTCCGTTTAACGTATATTTTGATATTATTGTAATCCTCGGTTGGGGCCTTGCTTCTACCCAGCACGATACATACATTAATATAGCTTAATGGATTTCTTGTTATAGTATAGCATAAACAGTTGTATGTCACACAAGGATGACTCCCTCCCTCAGTCCTACCCGCCGTCTATAGCCGATGCTGATATAGTGACTGGGTGTACCTGTACCAACTTATGCTGATGCACTGGGGATCACATCAATGTATTTCATCTAGCGTTTCAAATTTTACTGCTAAAAAATCTATCGATACTTTTTGGTGACTACATAATTTGGGGGGGAACTTTTTTCATTATCGAAAAGTATCTTGACTTTTATAATGTGAGTCTATAGGAATATTGATTCGATTTACTATAGGTTTTTATAAGACACAGTACAGGTACTCTTATAAACTGGGGAATGCCTGTAGAACTTTCCTAACATTCAAAGTACCACAACAATAAGAAATACAATACCACAGACTACTTCAGGTCCACTTCACTGCAGGTCCAGTTAACTTTATATCCAGCCAACTTCATTCTAGTTCACATCAGGTCCAAAAGTTCAGGTCCACTTTAGGCAGTGATGGAGAAAGTACCTGAAAATATTACTTAAGATAAAGTACGGCACTGTTGATATGTAAACATTTAAACTATGTACTGTAGTCTTCTTCAAAACTATGCAAATAAAAGTTTAATTAACTCAACTGAATCATACAAGTATAAAAAGTAGCACAGTATTTGTAGAGTATCATAATAAATAAACAATGAAATTATGTTTTGAAAACGAACCTCCAAGTTATTAATATACTGTACTGTACTCTAGAGAAAAACTAAATAAACACACATTCAAAATTTGGTATGGGATGGAAAACGTGAATCTGGGCCACAGTTTTGAGAGGTCCCGTACCACCGACACCAATGGGACGTGACTTTAGACACAAACATTTACATAAATGACCACTTTTATAGGATTACCGTACAAGGGCACTTAAATACAAGTCCTCTAATACACTCGGCTTGTACGCCCGACGACACGACGTGAAGTGACGACGTCGGTCTCGCCTCCTACGAGTCGGCAGCGTTTCTCCGGTTGCCGTTAACGGCGTCGTATACGAGACCGGACGGGTCTGTACGGTCGAGTCTGAACTTGTCATACTGAGATGTGTTGTTGGTCCTTGAAGCAGGGATTATTTGACCAGTACTCGGCACAATAACCACTGGTTATTTGATCGAGATCTAAAACAAAACTAAATCCTTTTGCCCACAGAAATTATACAATTAAATATTACCATAATGTAATGACTTGTTTAATGTCCCCAACCATCCCGACTACAATCCCACTAAAATCCCATACGATCCCCGCAGGTCCCGGTCAAATAGTCGACGGTTATTTGGCCCAGAATCCGGGTCAAATAACAACTTTGTATTAAAAATAAACGTTACTTATTAGTTTACTACCACATGGACAAACTGATTACTCAAATAGGTTAGGGTAGGTTGAAATTATCTTGTTCCAATGATTTTTTATTTATTTTGAACTTTTATGACCTTCGGAAAGTAGGCGCACGGCCGAAACGATAATTTTACCCGTTTTTATATGTATTTTTTCTAATAAATAAATATGATCTAATTTCCTTACACTAACAAAAACAATGAATCTTCCAAACATGAAGGGTTAAAAAAACAACATTGAAAACCCTACCTAACCTAATCTAAACTACCCGACTTCTTGCGACGGACGAGCAAAAACTTAATCGGCATGCCCGGTTTCGTACACGTCCAATAGCGTTTACATTTCGCAGACGTGACCGACGTAGAACGAAACTACGACGATGTCGACGGATTCTTATTGTGCTGCCGGGAGAAACACAATTTTGCGGGATTTATTATTTAAATCTTTCACTCGAATTTCACATAATCTGCTGTGACCAATCAGAGGACAGTTCAAATCTATTGTGATGTTTACGCAGGAGCAAAAACTTTTTTTCTAGATATATTTAAGCCTTCCTCGTGACCTAAACGTTGAAGACAAGAAGTGACTCACTGACAAAACATTAAAACACAAAAAAACAAAACATTAAAGAAATAACTTTTTCTGTTATCATTAGTTAAATACAGCTACTCCTCGACTTACGACCGCCTCGGTCGTACCAAAATTTTGTCAAATTACCTATTTTCAAATCCCAGCGTTAGTGATTGCGCCGTGTACTGAAAATTTTTGTTTGTAATTCCCTTTAAAATGGCTGGCAAGCGTAAGAGTGAGAGTTCTCGTGGTGCCGAGAAGAAAAAAGAGACGCCCATTTTAGATTTTCTATGTACAGTATTATTTTCGCCTTGCGACCCGGTCGCCGGTCCCTAACCCCGTCGTAAGTCGGAGACCGACCGTACCGTAATGTGCTGGGTATATATTGCTCTACTGTACTGTATATCATTATCTACAAGAGTTAAGTTGGACTCGCGAACAAGCCTCGGGAACTCGACTCGTTTGTCTGTCGAGAAGCTCCTATATTGGCAATCGAGGCTTTCCGAGCAATGTTACACAACCCGTTTCAGAATTGTTGCTAACTCTACATCTACACCTTTGAGCACGAATGAGTATACAGTCATGTGCCGGTTAACGTCCTAGATACGTACTTGGAAACGTGACGTTAACCGAAATGGACGTTGTCCGATCGTCGCATAAACTTTGTATCTATACTTACGTGTATGTGGAATACTATATACGCTTTTACTCTTAAATCACTACTGTAATGTGATACAGGTGATTAATTTTTATCTCTTATGCAAATTACATAACGTTTATATTAAAATTATTCACTGTTTTACAAGGATTCCAGCAAAGCTGGGCAGATGGGGCAGAGGGAGAGAGCGAGGGGGCGTGGTTTCACAGTTGGCACAGGCCCAGGTCTAACGCATGTATATTTATCAGTTCTTAAGTGACTAAGCTTCTCTCTTATAAAAAGACAGTGAAATGACTTGGGAGAATATAATTAACATTGCTGGGATTCTTGTAACATACTGATTAATTTGAATATAGACATGCTGTAATTTGCACTAGACATAACAATTTTAGTACCGTAATCAAATAAGTACATGTACACTCCAGCTTTGCACTAACGTCATTTATTTCTTTTACGTTTCTTTTAGTATGGTCTGTGCATGTAAATGGACGACAATAAATGAAGAAATTTATGTAAATCTACCCAAAAATACAGTTGATAAACTTTATATTATAAAATGTACTACAGTATTGTATACTAATGTACTACAATTTTTATATCTTGAGCAAAATATATGACGTTTATATTCAAATTATTGGCTGTCTTGCAAGGATTCCAGCAATGCAAATTGTAATCTCCTAACTTTAGTCTGAGATATCATATAAAATAAACACCTTAAAGCATAAAATTATCACCAATGTTGTGTCTGGGAACACAAGGAGAGAGGTAGCCAGCGAGCGTGGGAAGAGGGGGGGGGGAGGAGGTTGAGGTGACAGTGTCTGGTGTTTGTTTATTTATTTGACATAAGATTTGACAGTTGGCGCTGAAGGCTTGCGTGTTTATTTATCGTTACTCGAGAGTGACACGGCTCTTCTCTTAATTTGCCACCCAAACGACCTGGGTGAATATAACTTACATTGCTGGGATTCTTGTAAGATGGTATTTGAATACCTGTATAAACAATCTATATTTGCAATAGACATAACAATTTAAGTACCGTAATCATTTAGTACATGTACAGTACAGGTTTGTTCCATTGTTAACCGAGGGACCACTGTATTGCAGTGTACTTGTACTGTACAATAATGACTAAATTCACTAGACAACTAATGGTTAGTAAAACTTGTCAAGTGAGTGAGTGTCAAGTCCATCAGTATAAGTGGCACGTGTGAGTCCTCGCGTCCCCCGTCGTAGGAGTCCGTTTTCTCTCGCTTCGGGACGCGCGAATCCGTTTTCTCTTAATCTTAGAGTGCAGTGCACCAAAAACTTCATTATTCCTTAGTAATGACACAGAATTTGAAATTGCAACCCCAATTGCAACTGGAGTTGCAAATGTTGAGCCAACTAGATATGTCTGATTACAGCAAATGTCTTATTGTCAATTTGTAGGTGAAAGATTTTATCCTCAATAGATGTAGGTTAACATTACACCTGGAGGAAAATGCTTACTAAAGCCTAAGGAAGGATATTCCTTTAACACATAATATCTGGCCAGTACGGGAAGGATCGTCGTGTCTCCGTCGGGGGGTCGTGGAGTGGTGGTCCGGCAGGCGTCACGGAAGTGTTTTTTGGAGAGGCCACGGACGTATGTGCGATCGGACGTTGTTCGGTTGGACGTTAACCGGCGCACGACTGTACGTATTTTTGAAAGATGCAAATCCTACGAGGATTCGGATCGCGCATTATGCAAATTCGCATTGTGTGTCGTAAATGGACGCCAACGCCGTGCCGGTCAATAATGGGATCACACATCAAATGAACAGAGGAATTATTAGAAAGACACAACGGGACGAGAGGTGCTATTATTGGCCTTCGCGACGAGGGCATACGTAATGCTCGGATAACTTGCCAGTCTGGGGCGAGTGAACCCACGGGCATCGCGATGGGTTACCCGACACGAAACGACCGGCGACGCGCCGATTTAAAATCTTATTTTGGCATTAAACCGATACAATTTACGTATCAATAATATTTGGCAGATCCCATTTACACCAATAAAGTGTATATTGCTGTAGCCGTTCACTCTAATATCAACTACTATTTGCTTACTCACTCCTCATAAATCATACGTGTCGTCAACAACTATATTATGCAACTCGGTACGAATGAAACGGTTACTACGACACAATGGTGAAATGTCTGCCCCGAGGTACGTCTCGGTCTCGCTCGTGACGTTCCGAAACTCTTCCGTTTAATGTATATTTTGATATTATTGTAATCCTCGGTTGGGGCCTTGCTTCTACCCAGCACGATACATACATTAATATAGCTTAATGGATTTCTTGTTATAGTATAGCATATACAGTTGCATGTCACACAAGGATGACTCCCTCCCTCAGTCCTACCCGCCGTCTATAGCCGTTGCTGATCTAGTGACCGGGTGTACCTGTACCAACTTATGCTGATGCACTGGGGATCACATCAATGTATTTCATCTAGCGTTTCAAATTTTACCGCTAAAAAATCTATCGATACTTTTTGGTGACTACATAATTTGGGGGGGGGGAACTTTTTTCATTGTAGAAAAGTATCTTGACTTTTATAATGTGAGTCTATAGGAATATTGATTCGATTTACTATTGGTTTTTATAAGACACAGTACAGGTACTCTTATAAACTGGGGAATGCCTGTAGAACTTTCCTAACATTCAAAGTACCACAACAATATGAAATACAATACCACAGACTACTTCAGGTCCACTTCACTGCAGGTCCAGTTAACTTTATATCCAGCCAACTTCATTCTAGTTCACATCAGGTCCAAAAGTTCAGGTCCACTTTAGGCAGTGATGGAGAAAGTACCTGAAAATATTACTTAAGATAAAGTACTGCACTGTTGATATGTAAACATTTAAACTATGTACTGTAGTCTTCTTCAAAACTATGCAAATAAAAGTTTAATTAACTCAACTGAATCATACAAGTATAAAAAGTAGCACAGTATTTGTAGAGTATCATAATAAATAAACAATGAAATTATGTTTTGAAAACAAACCTTCAAGTTATTAATATACTGTACTGTACTCTAGATAAAAACTAAATAAACACACATTCAAAATTTGGTATGGGATGGAAAATGTGAATCTGGGCCATAGTTTTGAGAGGTCCCGTACCACCGACACCAATGGAACGTGACTTTAGACACAAACATATACAGTACATAAATGACCACTCTTATAGGATTACTGTACAAATGCACTTAAATACAAGTCCTCTAATACACTCGGCTTCTACACCCAATGACACGACGTGAAGTAACGACGTCGGTCTCGCCCATCGCGGGTCGGCGGCGTTTCTCCGTTAAAGGAGTCGTAGACGAGACCGGACGGGTCCGTACGGTCGAGTCTGAACTTGCGATGGAGATGTGTTGTTGGTCCTTGAAGCTTCCTGGAAATGTGACCAATAGCTATACTATAATACACAACACTGTATAACTATTATACTATAGGCAGGGATTATTTGACCAGTACTCGGCACAATAACCACTGGTTATTTGACAGAGATCTAAAATAAAACTAAATACTTTTGCCTGCAGAAACTTCTACAATTAAATAATACCATAATGTAATGACTTGTTTAATGCCCACAATCATCCCGACTACAATCCCACTGAAATCGTATACGTATAATCCCCGCAGGTCCCGGTCAAATAGCCGACGGTTATTTGGCCCACAATCCGGGTCAAATAACAACTTCGTACACTTATAATAAAGGCACTTGTTTGTTTAATACCACATGGAGAAACGGATTACTCAAATCGGTTAGGTTAGGTTGAAATTGGGTTTTTCCAATAGTTTTTGATGTGTTTAGAATGAGTCTGACCTTCCAAAAGTAGGCGCTTCGCCGAAACTACAGTTTTCCGTGTTTTTATTTTGTTTGTTTTTTCTAATAGATACGTGTGACCTTTATTTCCTTTAACACTAGAAACAACAACAATCATTCTTCCAAACTGAATTACACTTTCAACATGAGGTTAAACAAAATTGAAAACCCTACCTAACCTTTTGTGACGGACGCACATAAAATCGCGGTTACTTTTGTGGACGTAACCGAAATAGGACGAAGCTACGACAATATTGACGGATTCTTATTGCACTAGCGGGCAAAAGCTTTTACGCAATTTAATATTTAAATTTCTTTCGTTTGAATTTCACATAATCTGCTGTGACCAATCAGAGGACAGTTCAAATCTATTGGGAGTGCAAATTAGTTTCTTAAACGTATTCCAGCTTCCCTAGTGACCTATAGATGCTAATGACTCACTGACAAAACATTAATGAAATAACTTTTTCATTTATCATCAGTTAAATAAAGTAACCTTTAGATATTATTTGAAGTGTTAAGGTATAGAAAAGGTTAGGTTAGGTTTTCTTTCTTTTTTTCTCAAAACACCACTACCACCAGCAACAGTATTTCGATTTGGTTCATATTTTCATAGGTGTTCTTATTATAATATTTTAAAAGAGGCGACAACTTTTTATTTTAATTAAAAGCACTTTTTTATTTATTTTTTATATGATTTTCAATCACCTGTGATGGGCAAGGGATGAAGGTTGGAGGAAATGGGGGGAAAACACTGAAAACTGAGCACGTGACACTAAAATGACGAATAATTACATTTACCGTAAAAACTCCTCCAAAAAATTTGCCGATTCGCTGCGTCGTGTTTGTTTATAGCCGACTCGCCGAGTCCGAGCGCACACTCTTGCATCCACAAAAATATAAATTACACCGTGACGCTTCTAAAAAGTTGCTTTCATTGGTACCAGATATCAAAATAAGTACTTTGTTTAATATGGTAAGTCCACCCCCTGACTAGGAAGTTAGGTAAGGTTAGGTAGGTCGCTTTGGTTGGTTATATTACATCAGATTATACAGTATTAACTTCTAGCAAATGTCGCCTCTTAAAATTCTATAATAACATCTGTAGAAAAAATGAAAAAATCAAACTCGTCCCGGTAACTGAGGTCATCATATCTCCATAACGGCTCATTTATACCAGAAATGAAGGTTAAGAATTGCTCGAAAAACAAAATACCCTAGAAAAACCTATTTTTGCCATTTCACTTGTCACTAAACAAATCTCGGGAATTTTATAATTGCAATCAGTAATTTTGACAATTCTAAGACACCTTTTCTTCAATAACATTTCTGGAACAAAATACGTTTAAGCGAGATATTTAACAATTTATTATGTATGTCTGTTCATGGCGGTACACACCCAGGTTAGGTTAGGTTAGGTTAGGTTAGGTTAGGTTAAGATGGGTGTTTGTGCGTTTTGAACACTTTTTACCTCGATTCTTACAGCCGTAGTTTGTGAGATGTGTGGGGGCAGGGTGGTTAATTATTACAAGTGGACAACCACAGGGAGTTGCTGTTGACCAATGTGTTTTTCCGATGGTTTAGACAATGTTAAATTAGTTTTTTGTGGACTTTTGGGGTTTTACTCAAATTTGACCTATTTTTTTTTTAGCAAATTAGCAGTTTGTTAAAATTGAAAATGTTCTTTTTTTTTTTTACCAAACAAGTTACTTTACAAACCAAAAGGGCACATTTGAGCAAGACACTGAAAAATCTCGAAAAAACCCTATTCTAGTACAAAACCCGAGGACAGCCAATGGACTATTACCCTAAACCATCAACAACTCCCCCCTGTGGTTGTCCACTTATATTAATTTACCAAGGGCTTACCTCAAAACTATTGATTTACACCACAAATAAAGATCAAACTCTTCCATAACATCAAAAACCACCGGAAATACATATTTAAAACTTTGATGTCATACAGTGGCAATAAATGTAACTATACCAACACAGTGTAACCACCTCCACCAAATGACCCAACACAATTAACTAACCTAACCATTAAATACACTCTGTCTAACCATAACAACTACTTAGTATTATTAATGTTATATATCTGATATAATAATATGAATAAATGTCTTACCGATGCCTCAGGACGATATTTTCAGAGGTGTCAGGACGTCGTACTCTTGGTCCGTCCTCCATCTTCTTCCTCTGTCTTGTGGCTCCAACTGGTGATGGATCCAAGAACCACCAGACGAGAAACTCTCCCCTGTACCCCCGTGATGAAGGTTTAGTAGCGCTGTTAACTCATAGATGGCGCTCATCTCCATATCATTCCGTCTCTTATTACTCTTTTACGTTCAATATATAAAACAGCCATTTGAATAATCATTTATTTCAATTTAAATAAAACTATATTAACATGTAATAGAGTCTGTAAAAATAAAATGAGTTTTGCTGTAAAATAACTGAAAAACACAAAGAATTCAGTTATTTAACAAGAAAATGTGCCATGGTTGTTGAGGCACTACACAAACTTAAACATCTTGGAGGAACTAAAGTAAATTATAGATCTATTACATAACTACTAACTGTATTCTCACCACATTCATTAACAATACTGTACGTTAGTAAAGCCTATATGTTGATGGTACTTATATACTGCCTGGAGTACTTAAAGGGTGAAACTTTTATTATTTAGAGAGGCCAACGAATTCTATAGTAGATTTAGGAATGTATAGAAGGAACCCAGCCAGACATTTATTGAATTAGTTTATTTAATTACCAAGCTTAAAGACTTTTCAATTCTTAAATAAGCTTATTAGGAGTCATCATTACCTAGAGATTCATATGTGTGTTTATGTGAGTGACAACTGTACAGAAACTTCACACTTTGATAAGTATTATTTTTTTATTCATAATTTTTCATATATTAAAAGTCAATTGTGATCTGGTTTTTGAATTATTGATAAATATAGTATGACGAATTGTACGGCTTTCTATTGGTGGCCAGAGAGACAGAGACCACCCTACAGCCGCTAATGGTTGTTACTCCTCTTTAACTCACGGTAAAACCACTCATTAACCTCTATAGTGAAAAATTAACAACTTATAAATAAAAAATAATCAAATTAGCAATAGAAAAGCGATAAATAGTCAAGACATAGAGAAGTTTTATAGAACAATTATCGAAAAATGAAATGTCTTAAACACTCGTGATTAGGTGGTTAGCCTAGTTAAGATTTTCCCGTCTAAATCATGTCTCCCCCCCACACCCCCCCTCCCCCACCCTTCCCCCCCTACCACTGCCGTCCTTAAATACCCTGAAAGCTGTGACAGAAGGACAGTACTGATCCAAACCTCAAAACAAGTGGTGCTACAGAACTCGAGGCTACACATCGTTAGTCTCCAGCTGCTGTTTCTAAATTACATGAGTATATATCTATCTTGTGTTGGTTAAAAATATGTTTAGTTGAAGAGTTATTTATATTTGATAAAATTTGGTGATATTTTAGTATAACTGGTGAATTATTTATCTGTAGGTGTTTGGTATTGAGTGCATTTCTATATTTAACCCTTGATTATTTACTTATTCCAGATATCAGTGATCTACGTGGAATAACTACTAGCAATGTTTCAACGGCGGGATGAGTTGAGTTTGGCTCTCGGTGAAAGTGGTCTAATCCAGCTTCACCCAGGGCACAGTGATCTACCTGCCTTGGTGATGTGGGTAGTTAAGGACGAACCCGGCTGGAGTGGGGAAGCCTTGGAACAGCGCGAACTACTATATTTGTTTAACTTTAAATATATGATCTACATACTTCTACAATAAACTTGGAACTTTAAAGCCCCGTATTTTAATTTTTTTAATAACCGTTTTATGCGGCGTTTTAGACCAATTTAAAACTACTTGACATTTCCCTCTCAAATAACTTGTACATAATTTATCAGTTTAATTAATTTAACTATACACAAGATCGTGGGGACTACTTTTGATCTTTCTAGATGATCCTTAATTCGGCTTTAAGACCCCTCTTGACTATCTAGCACAATAGATTTACTTGGTACCTTCAATCAAGCAGTGTGTCAACTAAAGCTTTCATCCATCAGAAACTTCCCACCTGAATCAAAGTACGAATGAAATCTCGAGCCTAGAGAGAACCATTTTTTCAACTGATAATTGATTCTCTGCCATGGAAGCAATACTAAACTTAATATTACTTACCATTGAGAATAGTGGGGCATATATCCTTACTGCACCTGATGTCCATAGCCACTTTGTCAAACCTGCACGCGAGTCTACCTGGTCCCATAAGTCGAAAGCTGGCAGTTTAGGGGGCCGAATTTACTGTTGAATACATAGATGCTGCTGTGTGGTCATGATACAACCTACTCTTTACTTGTTAATGATCCATCAACTCTTGTCATGTTTCCCTTCCCAATTCATAATCGGTATAAATGAAAAGATGGTAGTTTAGTGGCCAGTAATTATGTTGGAACAATTCTGTGAGGCCAGATTCCTGGTACCACAGTGATTAGAAAGGAAAATGCTTATATAACAAAGTACATGTTCTGGGAGAGGTCAGTAGTTCCCCTGATCTGGCTACTGAGGAATATCTGCAGCACAACACTAACGCCCTACATTTCCCCCGACCACTCGAAGTAGCTTTTCCATAACCACTAGGCACTTGTACTGGTAGCTCCTCACCTGAATCTGTAGGCAGCAACATTTCTGGAACACTCCACTCCTACTGCAGATGTTTGGGAACTCCATATGCCACTTCGTCCGAGCTCACTCGTCTTGGGTGGTAGATTAACATAACTTATTACCTAAAGTATAGCTGTACTACTACTACACCCTCCACCACTGCTAGTGTTCCTCACCATAATTACTACTGTACTCATTACAGTACTACCACTACAGTAACGTGCTCCCAACCTCCATTACTGTAATGTCATTCACATTATATTACAACATTCCTATACAAGAAACCGTTCATTGTTTAACACTTCACTAATATTCCTCACAGCTCCCTAAATGCCCCACAACGTAAACACCTAGAAAAAGTGCAAAAGAGGGCATGCAAGACTTCTCACCCCTTCCTACTCCACATATCAAGAAGGCCTCAACACACTGACCCTCACCACGACCTCATCTGCAAATTTGGTAAGAAGCTTCGACACCGGCTCCTACTACCACCCGAGATCCCTAGCCCGAGAATTGCTGTTCGACACCACAACCGCATCCAGCCCATACGTGCACGAACTGATCGCTATAAGAACAGCCCAGTCCCAACCATTGTAAAAATTATCAATAACTTGAAATAAACTAGTGTATTCACTCCCAGTAAATAATACTCCTTGCACTGTTACTATGTTGAAATGAACTGTAGTTTGAGCTTTTCCCCATCTAGTTATTATATATCTTCTTTATATCACTTATGTTATTTGTATATTATTTGTAATTCGAAACCCATTCCCCAATTAAGGAACTGTATATTTTCAGCCTTCTGCCTGCCAAGCTCTTTCAATAAACCGTTTATTATTATTAGATGTATCTCCCTACAGTATATTCCCAGGGTCCATTAGGTAGATACACAAGGGGATAAAGATACAGACGGGATATACTATGTAACACTATATTTAGCAGAAAATACAGCAGTTACACTAAAAAAACACTGAATTACAACTCCTAACTGGGGCTGACATGACAAGTTTTGTTGCTGTACAGAAGTTATATACACCAAGAAAGAGAGGGGGAGGGGAGGGGGCCTCAAACTGTACAAGACAAAGAACAAATTAATGGAAAATGGAAGCAAACCATAAGTTGCAATTATACTGTATAACAAATGCAACAAATAAAAAAAATCTGGAGAACAATTACAAGTAGTGACAAACTTGGAATAATAATAAAAAAAAACTGAAATAACTGCTATATTAAGTATATTTGAGATACAAACATCCACTTGGAAATTTATAGTCAAATACGAGACTGTGGGTAAGTTAGGCATTATGTTATACACAATTATGTTATATCAATGTATTGAAATATACAACTCTATTAACTGTTACGTCACCCTCAGACTGTCCCAGCTTCGTCCGCGCTCGTACCGGACACTCGACTCTGGAGCCGGTGCTCTCGCTCTCCTCCGCACTGACTGTTCATAATACCTGAGATTTCTATCGTTATTTACAGAAGCTGGTCGGGCTACGGCGATTGACATTATGCGTGTCGGGTTTGTTTCTATATCTACAAACGTGTAAATACATTAAGTACTCTTTTGTAAGTTTCCATTCATTGCACTGTCAATGGCGATTTTTGCAACTCTTTACTGCGAGAGCGATCTTAATAATACGATAATGCACACGATTCTGCGACGTCCGACCGGTCGGGGATCTCACGGGCTGAACACTCTGAGCGTGCGCATGAGAGCGGTGAGTACGCCGGCCAGGTTGGTGGCCTGAGTCATGAGGGTGTTCATGGAAGGATGGTCCATCCCGCGGCCCGCCGCGGACAGCGCCGCCCGGACGGTGGACTGGTAGGTGGTGGCCACGTCCCTCACCTTCACTACCACGTTCTGAGTCTGGAGAGGCGTGGTCGTGTGCCGCACCACCTGCTGGGTCACGTCCACCATGCGCTGCATCAGCTTTATACACGTCGACAGACACTGCAATAACGTGTCTTCGGATTCCGTGGCCGACTTGACGAATAACTTCGAGGCCGTTACGAACTGTCTCGATTCGCTGGTGAGAGTCTCTCTGGCCTCCTGGAACTTTGCCTCGTCTTGAGTGGCGGTGCCGCCGCAACGCTGAGCTTCTGCGCAGGTCGCTGCCATCTCCGTCAAGGACTTCAGGGACTGGCCGACCACTCCCGTAAAACGGCGGAAGGCATCTCTAGACGCCGGAGGCATCACTTCGATGTCTTCTGCTTCTTCTAACGAATCTTGATCGAAGCTGCCGGAGTCCAGGGAATCGTCCGGATCCGTCCCGTTTGGAGTCTTGCCGTTGACCGTCTTGTTTTTGGGAGAGAGTTTTGGCGAGGAAGTCTGCAGAGGAGCGACTTCTTGGTTCAGGCTGTTTTTAAGAGCCACACTGGAATTATCCGGTCTGGGCAGCCTCGAAGCCGTGGAATTTTTGTCGGCGGTTCGCACGGGACTTTTGATGCCGTTGGCGGTGGCCGGCGGCGATGCGGGAACTCTCCGAGCCGGCGACTGACCATTCTTGGCGGGGAGCCGAGGCTTCGGTTCCTCCGCACCGGCAGCCTTGCGAGTGACTTTGGGACTCTTTTGGGGGGAGCGAGTACCCCCTCGAGGAGATGTGGGACTGTTCGCGGGAGCCTTACCGCCGGTAGGTCCGGAAGGAGCCGTTAATTTGCCCGAAGAACGCGGACGGTGTGTGCCTGGCAGATTATTCGTAGGAGTAGTAGTTGGGCTGAGCTGTGGCTTCCGAAGTCTGGAAGGCACCGAGGGTGGCCGTTCCGAGTTATCTGGCGAGGGACTCCTTATTGCCTTACGTGCTGGTGATGGTGAACGAAGGCTTTTGTTCTGCATACCTGCCTTCACATTGTCCTGAGGAAGAGAAATTTTATTTATTAAAATTCACACACACACACACACACAAACTTTCTCCAGTTCTTCAATCAACCAAACTTATTAACATACAGTATACAATTTTCTTTACTCAACCAACCACATCAACCTCAATTATCATCCCATCCTGGCAAACACCAAACATTCATGGTGACATTACATATCCTACTATAGTCTTACTTTCACCAGCAACAACTTCTCCTCTCCCTCACATACAGTAAACTGCCTATAGACAACAACCAGTATTTTCCCATTTATCTAATACATTTTCTAACATTCCTATATTGCTTTTCTAACGACTCTATCCGGGTCCTTAAATATCACAAAAACATTATCGATTTCATTAGATAATTTTACATATAAGAACTATTCTCCTTAATTAAAAAAGTGACCCACATAATCTCTTCCAAGTCTGGTTCCAAACTTTTCTTCCACTAATATACTTTTCCTACAATTATATTACCTTATATCTCAAAATCTTCCCTCTATCATTCTATTGTTTCTCTATTAAACATAATCAATATACTTTTGTTATTCTATTAAAAACAAGATTGATAACATCATTATTCCGTATTTTTCTAGGTAAATAGACAGTTCCAATATGTTTACTAAAGAAATCCCATCTAACCGTTTCCTCTCTTTTAAGTTTGCTTTTATCACATTGAATCTTTATTTCTCTCAGTGTTAAACAGGATAACTCTCTCTCTCAGCTGTTACATTTACCAACTTCTCATAATACAACCTTTATCTCCCTCTAATCTCCTCTTTATTTCATATTGTATCCATGTTTCACTCTTAGCTGTCTCTTCCACATCTTATCTCAAATCTCTCACCTCTGTGTATGTGTGTGTGTGCAAATTGCTTCAGCATCAGAATATAAAACCTTAACTACCATCATATAAAGAATTAAACACATCAGTACATAAAATCTATTTCTTTTCCAATTCCCAAAAAGAGAGAATATATTCACCTCCATCATTGCTGTTCCAAACCACTTTAGTACTACATCTTCATTGCTGTCAGTTATCATCTGCTTCAATTCATTTAGCAGGACAGTTATGTATAAAAAATAATAACAAAAAACAATTAAACAAGGCAGGTGAACTCAAGACTGGCTGAGCTGTAGTTCATTAATGATGTTTAGAAATTTATTGCAAATTTTAAGAGTAATTCTTCAGTAGAGGAATTCACCTGTGATGAGCTTCGTGGAAGTGGAGGTTTCGTGGCGGCTTTGGAGCCGTTCCTCGGAGGCAATTCTGGAGGATCTTCGTCGTCCAGGCTCTTGAGCGAGGCCGACTTGACGGTCGCCATACTGGAGGACGACGTGAGAGAATCGTTACTGGAGGCTACGCTTTGTTTGGAAGGGGACCCCGGGGAGGCTTTGGCTTGGCTGACGTCTTCGCTGGAGGCCGAGGCTTTGGTGCTCTTGGTGGGCGACTTCAGGATGGTGTCGTAGCTGGCGTGACTCGTCATGTCGTCTTGAGAGGCGGACTTGGAGAGGTTACCCGTGCTCATAGATATACTTCTCTGGATTTTTGACAAGGGAGGAGAAGGCTTGGATTTCTTTGGGTTAGTCAGAGTGCCGGTTCGTGTGATGGGCGTTCGTGGAGGAGGGGGAGGTGGAGAGTCCTCCTCTTTTCCCTCTGCCTTACTGGTTGGCACTGTCATTTGGCGCTGAAGCGTCGACGGTCGCTGAAGAGAAGAGGTGGTCCAGTTTCCCCCGGAGCTGAAGGTTCGTACTCTGGCCATGACCGACGGCTGCTTGGAGTCGCCGCTCTCGTTACCGCTCTCCCGACTTCCGCTGGTATTTTTGGCACTCGTCATTTGTTTTCTTTTAAGAGTGTCGAAACTTTTGAACATCTTATCATTTTCCTCTAATGCCTGTGCCAATTTCACATCCAGTTCATGTCCTACATTAGAATTATTTGATCTCAGACTGTCATAACCCGAAGAATCACTTGGGGAATGAGAGTTTTCTTTGCTAAGCTTCAGTAGCAACTGACGATTGTCTACGGAGGCACTAGAGTTAGGCGGACTGCCGTAGGCAGTCCTGGGAGGAACTTCGAAGCGCCTCTGCAGAGATGCGACCTTCCCCGCTAGATTGGCATGCTTGGCCATCGTCTCCGAGCTGACGCGCACCTCGCCGATGTCGTGGTCCTTCTCCCCGACCTCCGTGTCGCTGTTGTCCTCGCACACCATCTGTAACGATAACCCAATTTAGGTCATTTTTGTACTAAAAAATTATATCTTAAAGTAAATACCTCCTACAGTACTGCATGTGATATACACTCAGAAAGAAAGAACTAACAGCAAATACTTTAGGTAAAACAAACATTTGCTGGTACAGCAGTAATGAGTGTATCTCTCACAACTATGCAGTATATATCACGGGTTTGAGTCCTGGCCGAGACACACATGAGAAGGGTGTTATCCAGCGACACTACCAAATACGACAGATTTCTTCCTGTACGAACACCTAACACTGGACAATAATGTTCATAACAAACCAACTGGCCCAGCAGCTAATAAACTTTTAAGTGGTGGAATGATAAATGAATAAATTAACAGTATTCTTTTACTACAGAAGAAATCACAATAAAACTCAACCATTTTAACCCATTGAGTAACACATTTCTCCAGCCTGAAAACACTGTCTGACATTACCCATACTAAAACACCTAGAGTGACACTCCTGCTTAAAGGGATAAACAACCTGAGAGTCATACATATCATCAGGAAATGTGATTTTAAATGGCCTCCCTGTTTTCCTAAGCACTGTATTGTATAGTACAATACTGTACAGTATTTATTATAAACCCATAACTAATTATTACAGAGTGCGGTAATCTTCTTACACGACGATGTATGTTACTGTACACTGTACGGTAAATCAATAACATCTATGAACAGAAACAAATTCATTTAGTTCAGACAAACACTTCCACAGTACACTTATAGTAATACAGTATTGCATTTAATTGTAGAAAATTAGATGAACCTGACAACAACTCACCCTACTGATTCCTTCTTTGGCTTCGTACAGTCTCCGTATAATGTCGGACGACCTGTTGTCCTTCTCGTCCGAGGTTGGAGGCGGCGGGATAATAAACGCAGAGATGTCGTACTCGTTCCCCATCTTACGGTTCTCCGCGCACGTCTGAAGGTCCTGCATATGTAAACGGCATCGTATATACAGAACAATTCTCTATTTGTAAATAAAGGAATATCTTGGAGTTTCATGTACTGTATAGTCATCAAAAAAAGGATAAAAACAGCAGCATTATAATGAATGTATAATCACTACACTACTTACCACAGCTCCTTCAGGTGGTGGAGGAATGGTAAGGTTTGCAATGAAGGAATCTATATCTTCGCCCTCCTCTAAGTGAATGCCGAGCTGGCGTAGGGCGGCCAAGGTGAAGCTTGGACCCCTCACTCCTCCGTTGCCACCCAAGCTTTTGTTGACTACCGCTCCTCCGGTCAGTGGGGAGAAGACGGAGTCACTGGAGACGATGCTGGTGTTGAGGCTGCTCAGGGAGGTGCTGTCCTCCGTGTCACTTGCTCCTGCTGGACACATGTAAGACGAGGCTCAAGACCCAATGCTGGTTTTTATTTCAGTGGAAAATATTTATAACAAATACCTTAAGGCAAGGCAAAAGGAACCATTGTGCCATCTAGAGCTCCTCCAACAAGTCTGGGAATGTGAACAAGAGATGTGTCTTGGGAAGAGCACTACGGGTAATGTTGATGTCTGATTCACTCGACCACGTTTCAGTTACACAGAGGATATCCAAGCTGAACTCCCTCAGAAACTCATTAATGTGACACATTTTGTTTCAGAACACGTGGATTTTAAGCAAATCTACTTTTAATAGGTTCAAGGGGGCCACTACACATTTTTGGAACAAGTAAAGTCGGTGTTTTTTATTACTTTTTTACCTTGGGAAGTCATCAGAGGACAATCTTTACTTTATGCCAAATGACTGACTGACTCGGGTGGTACTGTAAGAGATGAACCATGTCCTACACTCATGACTGTTTATTACAAATTTGTTTTTACTTATCTACTATTAATATCTTGACCCCTTGTCTCGAAATAATTAGGGTAATATAACAACTCACATATCTGACAGTATGATCATGGTAAAAATGTGCCTGAGTGTATTAATGATTTTACTAATAGGGTATTGCACTTATTAGACACTACTAGATGTATAAACAGAGAAATCCTATTACACAAACTTCCTTCTTCTACTGCACTGTGTTGTGTGTGTTAACTGCACTTTCCTTTGGCCTTAAATAATCTGATAGTAGCGTGGTAGAGCAAAATGAAAACGCGTATCGTATGATAGGATCCACAATAATGATAACTGACCTGTGACAGTGGAATCGGAACAACTGGCCAGAGAATCATGCTCAAACCAGCTGGGGTTGGCGAGTGACCTCAGATTACCAAGGTCTTGCTCCAGGGCTTTCAACTCCTTCTCGAGTGTCTCCCGGTCCGCAAAAGGTGTAGGTGGCGTGCTGACTTGGGGAGGGAAGACCTTGGCACCATCCTGAAGAAAAAATATGTTTCTCAATGTTTATAAAAGTCATAACAGTTTGGAGATTGCAATATGGAAATTAAACCTGAGGGTGTTTTTAATTGTAGCCCGACATATAAAGATTGATCGTTGGTCAAACACTGCATTACAGTACAGTGAGTTAGTAGGAAACTTCTCTCAACCACCTGGGGAGTTACTTAAGATTAATATTCACAACCTGGGTGAAACAACTAACAATCTTTTAAATAATAATCATTCGAATATAAGAATGACACTAGCAGCGAGTGATAGCTGACCTCGTCTGGTGTGATGGGGGGCGGGATCATGGTGAGGTCAATGATGTCTGGGTCAAGATACAGCGTGCCCTCTGCGAATGCGTAGGGCAGACCAGAGTTGTCCTCCAGCTGCTTGATGAGCGCCTTGATGTCATCTTCACGACTCTGCATGGTGATGGGCAGGTTGTCTGGGGAGTGTAGGCCAAAGGATGACCCGCTTGGCTTGAGGACCGATGAGGGACGTTGCGGAGGCTTGGCAGCTGTCGAGAAGGAAATGGTTTCATGTACTGTTGCTGTTACACTGTTCTATGTTGTCACTGTAGTACTGAATAATGTTGACCTGGGTGGAATGTTAAGCCAGAAACTTATAAATAAATAAATAAAAATCTATATCTATTGAACTTTTAATGCAAGGGAGAAACAAAAGCACAAAACCTTGCAACTGAATAAACAAAATTTTTACAAATATAAAATTAATATATACACCACACAAACAGCTAAATTCAGTAAAACCTCAATTAACCGACCCTCGATTAACCGACTTTCGGATTAACCGTCAATCCCGAACTCCTATTATTTTTTATTTATTTTTTTTTCACTGGGATTAGCCCACCTGGGCACAGGTCACTGACCCACATCGGGGCCTGGGGGGTGATAATGTAATAATATTAATAATGATAATGATAATGATTATAATAATAATAATAGTAATAAAGAACCATAAATAAATGCAAAAATTAGAAAAATATCAATAATGAGAAACAATATATGTATGTTGTGTTGTCAATAGTAAGAGAAACAATTGAGACCCTGCAATTGTGTGTAAATGAGGTAGAAAGTCAGATCAGCAACCTGGGACTTGCTCACAATTTTTGTGATGACATATGTTCTTTGACTTTTCCATTTTTTACTCACGGTTTCTGTGCTGGTTCATATTTATTTACTAAAGTGGTTAATCTTTTAAAGCAAATTCTATTGAAATATGAATGGCAAATGAAAAAAATGAATAGAGGGAATTAAATGAGGTAGGTTAGGGGAAGGTACTTTATGTACTATTAACCGACCTTTCGGAATATCCGTCGGCCCCTTCCCCCCATATGTGGTCGGTTAATCGAGCATATATGGTACAAATTAATTTCTTTTTAGTATTTCAAAATGGGTAACATACAGTATGTGCCCGAGATTTAAGGCAGCCGAGTGAAGAGTTCAGGAAGCAGTACTCGTGATATAAATGTCAGTCCCACCGGCATGAATTACAAAAGAAAGAATCTTAATGTTCCAAATTGAAACATCTCTTAATGAAGCCATAGGGAAGTACCTCCCACAGTTAAACTGTGGCAGTCATACACAAATGTCTCCAACAGTGTCAGAGTTAACTGTTGGCGTGACAACCAGCTGCTCTCTCTCATCTGTTGAGGGAAAAGATGAACACATAAATCTGTCGGGAACGGGACCAGACATGTCAGTAACAACGTGAGGGTGTTGGCTCACCGGGTTTATGCGCCGGACTCTGGGTGGGTGTCGACTGGGAGTCCGTGTCACTGCCCGAGCGTTCTTCACTCTCCACTACCTCGCCGTTTGGCAATAGCTTCTGACCCTGTGTAAACACCACATGTTAAAAACTTATAGTTGCCACAAAAAATATTGTCCACTGCAGAGAAAAACAAAAAACAGCGTAAAAATTATCTTTATGAAAACGGTACGAGAAAAGTCGTACAGTACGGTATACTGTACTTAAAAAGCTTTGTCTTCAACAAAAAAATATTATTCTTGTATAATAAAAACATTCCAAAAAACTAACTACTGCTTGGCCAGCTCTCACCTCTTCAAGAAAAATTGCTCCCCCCTCAAAAAAAACAAAAACAAAAAACCATACAACACAGTATGTACGGTCCCCCAAAAAGTATCAGTTCATTTTCTATCGTTACAATTTGAAACACAAGACAAAATAGTTTGATGTGATCCCCAGTGCATCAGCATAAGTTGATACTCCTGTTCACCACATCAGCAACAGCTACAGATGGTGGGTAGGACTGAGGGAGGCGGTGGTGACCTGCTGCTGTAGATACTTCAATATAACAACAAATCCATTAAGCAATATTAATATAAGTATCGTAGAAGCAAGGCAAATGTAAACAGGCCACTGACTCATGATTACAATAACACTGATATACAGATATAAATTAAATGGAAATGCTTCTGAATGTCATAAATGAGATATTTAACCACTAGATCATTGTACTAATGATGTTTCATTCATACTGAGTTTCACAATAGCCTACTCATGTTGTTCACGATATGTCTAATTACGAAGTGACTAAGCAAATAGTACTTCATATTATGAGATCTGCCATGTTACCGATATGTAATGGCATTGGCTTAACACTGAAATAAGGTTTCAAATCAAGTGACTTGCAGGCAACAGAGCTCCCCGTCCTCCTATAGTAAGGCATTAGTGGTTCTAAGTTTCAGTGTGTCACCAGTTGTTTCATGGTGCCTAACGCATCGTCATACTGTGCGGGGTCGCTTAACCCAGTTTCCCGTGCTATCTCCCCGTTACGTATACCCTCGTTGTGATGGCCGATAATAGCACCTCTCTCATCTTGTTATGTCTCCCCAATAATTCCTCACTCCATTCGATGTAAGATCCCATTAATGACTGACATGACGTTGGTGTCCATTTGCGACATCCACTCCGATTCACGTAATACAGTTTGTGATCTGAAGCCTCGGAGGATTCACATCATTCAAAAACATATATGTACTCATTCGTGCTCAAAGGTCGTGGATGTACAGTAGAGCTACCAACTATTAAAAAACGGGTAGAGTAACGTTGCTCGGAAAGCCTAGAATCACACCAACTCCATGTGTGATGATACTTTTTGGGGAGACCACACATTCCTTCCTGTGTTTCTGCACTAGACTTATACACAAACTATTAACACTTACACAGTAAATATACTAGGTGGGAGGTGAGCCACAAAATACCATTCACTTCATAAACAAAAAACATTCATGTATAAAAAGCTATGAGGCAAAATTCTGTGCTGTCAGCATATGTGGAAGTTACAACCCTCACTTATCCTTGGAAAATCATAAGAAGCGCAGCAGACCCCAGGCTCCAGTACATCAGAGGCTGGGAAAATATGTGGAATAAAGTTGGTAACCTAAGTTTATGACCGACGGGTTCACATCAAGCGCACCGGCTCGGGGCTCGTCCTGGCACACCTGTTGACTCATCGGCTTTTGAACCAACTATAAAGCTGGGGTTAAGTTTGCTTTATAAACTTACTTCTACTGGGTGACCAAATTCATGAGCAGCAATTCACACTTATCTGATAGGATAGTATTCCTGTCTCAGATCACAAACACCTTCCTGGGCATGACAGATTCAGACAGGTAGCCTGGTATACTAATCTTGTAGATCACTTTTGTAAGGGGTTAAAGACTATAAAATATAACCCAAGGGTAATCATATGTACAACCTTGTAATACTCTCTCTTACAATGATTCTTGAGGGACATAACCTGACCTTGTGTGGGAGATAAAGTGATAAGAACTGTGTCTCGGTCATTGAAGCATAAGTAAAAGATAATACTGCATGAAAGCTTCCTACATTACACAGATACTATATATCGTAAAATTAAACAGAATACTTCACACGGTCAAATTGTAAACTAGAAAGACACTCTTACTAGGTTTTCGATACCCGTACTAAGACACATAAACCATTATTATCATTAGGTAAATATAGAGTAAAGTAGTGCTAGTGATTGTTTAATATGAGTAGCAAAGCCAGCACTACTGTAGTAATATTAGAAGTAGGGGTGAGTCAGTTTACCTGGGGTGAGTCAGTTTACCTGGAGTGAGTCAGTTTACCTGGAGTGAGTCAGTTTACCTGGAGTGAGTCAGTTTACCTGGGGTGAGTCAGTTTACCTGGGGTGAGTCAGTTTACCTGGGTTAGAAGTAGGAGTGAGTCAGAGTGTTTGAGTCTGCCGTATTGGTCCGATCGAACGCTCTCCGTCTCGGTAGTCTCGCCGTCCGCATCGCTCAGGTAGTTCTCAGCATCCTCCACCAGCTGCTGTAGTTCCGCCACACGCTTAATCACCTGTGGGCCAAGTCGACAGTATTATACACTAATAACTTACATCTTAATAAGTGTTTAACATTTTCATTTCATTAGGTATTAATATTCTTCACTTTAAGCAGTTTTAATATATAGAGGATTGGTTTTATTATCTGTTCAATTACCAGACAAGAATAAAGTGATGATATTTAAATAACATAACCATACGAGTCATTACAAATTACTATGTTATGTATTTACCTTCTATATTTAAATGGGTCTAATTGCTTTGCCTTATCCTACACGTACAATTATATTTATATATAACACGTCCTTGACTTTAATGTATTCAAGTTTGTTACCTTACAAACTGAGTTATTAATTTTTTATATCTGGTATGAATTCTACCCAGAAAAAATCCCAAATTAATGAGTGAAAATAAGTCTAAATTAATATGTCAGTGTATGATAGATTGATTACTAAATGGCTATACTATAATAAACCAAATCTGGATCATTAGGACATTACAGTATTATCTAAATGGGTAAAGCATACGAGTGAATTGCAACTACTCGCAGGTGATAGGGGCTCGTTCATGCCTGATATATCATGTTAGTGGGCAGCTAAGTTAGGGTGTGCATGTGTTAGTTATATATGAGGGCAACATGCGAGGCTGTGGTGCTTTGGGCGACAAATAATATCATTTCTGTCATCTCGGTTGTAGCTCTTCAATGTGCGAGTGGTATTAGTCGATGGTTAACTTAGCCGAGAAGAAATACCTGATTGGTGGTGTGTTAGTAGGTATATAATCTCCTCTGCTGGTGATCTTTACTGCCTGCGAGCACTCACACAATGACAGCAGCAGCAGTGCCAATGTATCATGCACTCACAGCACCACCAATTTATCATTTACTCACTCTCACACACACACACACACACACACACACACACACACACACACACACACACACACACACACACACACACACACACACACACACACACACACACACCAATATATAAATACTGTATATATACCAAACAAAATCAGTGACCTCAAATCAGCTAATGATACAACTACCATGAACTGCCCAGTCAGCCATAAATTCACCTCACAGCTGAACAACTTTGTAAGGATAAATTTACATCATTCGGAAATACCAATACACAGTAAGCTATACTGTATATATATTCACTTCAAGACTGAATAGAGTTAAAGGGTCAATATACCCTAGTTATGAATAGTCCTAAACCACACGATTTTAAACCAATAAATTCGAGTGAGTTAAGATTGGGGCCTATCTGACCAATCAAAAATGAACAGGAGAGGACCAGCTCGGTTATGATTGGGTAATGATTAGTCAAAATATCTTACTAGGGATGCTAAAATAGACAGAGGTGTGAGAGGGAGGGAGAGAAGGACCTATCCCTCACAATACTACAATCGAGTCATCACTCATACCATCAACTCTTCAATAACTAACAAAAGTCTATATGAGAACTAGACATCTTAGCAGACAGACCAGTGGGCAACAAGCTCTGGCAAGGTCAACACTGAGGCTGACCAACCAGGAAGTACATGAGCAGTCACCAGCAGGCATTAGTGAAGGTGTACAAGAACTGCATGAGCGAGGTACAGACTGCTGAGCGAGCGAGCTACAGACTGCTGAGCGAGCGAGCTACAGACTGCTCAGGACGGCGCTGGATGGGAGGAGGTGCAGCAACGACCATGCGGCTCATGCTGCGGCACCTGCGGCAAGTGATCTCCCCCTGGTGTGTGGGTAGAAAGGTGCCCCTAGTGTGTGGGTAGTGATCTCCCCCTGGTGTGTGGGTAGAGAGGTGCCCCTAGTGTGTGGGTAGTGATCTCCCCCTGGTGTGTGGGTAGAGAGGTGCCCCTGGTGTGTGGGTAGTGATCTCCCCCTGGTGTGTGGGTAGAAAGGTGCCCCTAGTGTGTGGGTAGTGATCTCCCCCTGGTGTGTGGGGGAGAGAGGTGAGGTAGTAGTGTGTGGGTAGTGATCTCCCCCTGGTGTGTGTGGTGTGAGGTGCCCCTGGTGGGGGGTAGTGTGGTGCCCCTGTGTGGGCAGAGAGGTGCCCCTGGTGTGGGTAGAGAGGTGCCCCTGGTGTGTGGGGTAGAGAGGTGCCCCTGTGTGTGTGGTGTGGGGTAGAGAGGCAGTGCCCTGGTGTGTGGGTAGAGGTGCCCCTGTGTGTGTGGGCAGAGAGGTGCCCCTAGTGTGTGGGTAGTGATCTCCCCTGGTGTGTGGGGTGCCCTGGTGTGTGTGGGTGGGTAGTGCCCCTGGTGTGTGGGTAGAGAGGCCCCTGGTGTGTTGTGGTGAGATTGCCCTGGTGACCTGGTGTGTGGGTGAGGTGCCTGGTGTGGGTAGAGGTGCCCTGGTGTGTGGGTGGTGATCTCCCCTGGTGTGTGGGGGTGCCCTGGTGGGTGAGTGATCTCCCCCTGGTGTGTGGGTAGTAGTGGTCTCCCCCTGGTGTGTGAGGTAGGGTGCCCCTGGTGTTGTGGGTGAAGTGAGAGAGGTGCCCTGAGGTGTGTGGGTAGTGATCTCCCCCTGATGTGTGGGTAGAGGCCCCTGATGTGTGGGTGATGACCCCTGGTGAGGGGTGCAGAGGTGCCCTGGTGTGTGGGTAGAGAGGTGTCCCTGGTGTGGGTAGTGATCTCCCCTGATGTGTGTGGGGTAGAGAGGTGCCCTGATGTGTGGGTAGTGATCTCCCTGGTGTGGGGTAGAGAGGCAGTGTGTGGGTAGTGATCCCTGATGTGTGGGGTAGAGAGGTGCCCCTGGTGTGTGTGGGGAGAGTGCCCTGGTGTGTGTGGGATCTCCCCCTGAGAGAGGTGCCCCTGGTGTGTGGGTGGACTCTGTGTGTGTGTGGGGTAGAGAGGTGCCCCCTGGTGTGTGGGTAGTGGTCCCTGGTGTGTGTGGAGGTGCCCTGGTGTGTGGGTAGTGATCTCCCTGGTGTGTGGGAGAGAGGTGCCCCGTGTGTGGGTAGTGATGTCCCCTGGTGTGGGGTGGGTAGAGAGGTGCCTCAAGTGGTGTGTGGGGTAGTGATGTCCCCTGGTGGTGGGGCAGAGAGGTGCCCCTGGTGTGTGGGGTAGTCCCCTGGTGTGTGTGGGTAGAGAGGTGCCCTGGTGTGTGGGTAGTGATCTCCTGGTGTGTGTGGGTGAGAGGTGCCCCTGGTGTGTGGGTAGTGATGTCTGGTTGTGTGGGTAGAGGTGTGGTGTGTGAGTAGTGATGTCCCCTGGTGTGTGTGGGGTAGTTGATCTCCCCTGGTGTTATTCAGGCCAGAGACTGCTTTGGTGTGTGGGTAGTGGTCTCCCCTGGTGTGTGGTAGAGAGGTGCCCTGGTGTGTGTGGGTAGTGATCCCCTGGTGTGTGGGTGAGGTGCCCTGGTGTGTGGTGTTAGAGAGTGCCCTGGTGTGTGGGTAGTGATGTCCCCTGGTGTGTGGGAAGAGAGGTGCCCTGGTGTGTGGGGTAGTGATCTTCCCTGGTGTGTGGTTAGAGGTGCCCTGGTGTGTGGGGTAGAGCAGTTGGGTGCTAGGGGGTGGAGGGGTCATGCAGGGTGGTACTGGAGGTGGGGTTGGGGGTGAGCAAGCCGTGTGACAGCTCCTACCTCCTCGTTCCTGGCCTCACACACACGCTCGTCAGGAGGGCCTCCGTGACCCTGCGTCCCCGCCAGATTAAAGTGTACCTTCTTGGTGTCGCTGGGGGCGGGTTGACAGGCTGGGCTGGAGGGAGCGGGCGTACCATGGGCGTGAGTCGGGTGGGCGTAGTTGGGTTGGGTTGGACTGGCACCACTGTTTGTCTCATTGGCATTTTCATACACGGAGTTGCTGTAACATTATATAGTATCAGTGGAAACATACATACATACATACATACATACATACATACAGTACATACATACATACATACATACATACATACAGTACATACATACACAAGTTTATAATACATATCAATTCTCTTATTAAAATGACTAACCAAATAATTATTATATTTCAAAAAAATATATACTGACAGACAAGGATAATTTACCATCAATATACACATTAATTTAAGCTTAAAATCCACAAATACAGAACTTGTCAATAACTATACAACAAGACTAAGGCTGTTTTAGTATTCAAGTCATGGCAGCCAATTAACTTTTTTCCCCATTAAGTGGTAAAAGTTGTATTGTGGACCAGACCAAAAAATATATTCCACTTTATTTGTAGTTATTTTCACTTGGTATTTTATAATGTATTTTTAGGGGGAAAAATAATTAATGAACAATACTGATGGTGATGTCGGTATTTTGTTAATATTTGCGTGTTGTTGTATTCAATGGGTTAAAGTTATTGATTGAAGGGTTAAAGTTATTGATTGAAGGGTTAAAGTTATTGTTTGAAGGGTTAAAGTTATTGATTGAAGGGTTAAAGTTATTGATTGAAGGGTTAAAGTTATTGTTTGAAGGGTTAAAGTTATTGTTTGAAGGGTTAAAGTTATTGTTTGAAGGGTTAAAGTTATTGTTTGAAGGGTTAAAGTTATTGATTGAAGGGTTAAAGTTATTGATTGAAGGGTTAAAGTTATTGATTGAAGGGTTAAAGTTATTGATTGAAGGGTTAAAGTTATTGATTGAAGGGTTAAAGTTATTGATTGAAGGGTTAAAGTTATTGTTTGAAGGGTTAAAGTTATTCATTGAAGGGTTAAAGTTATCGTATTCAAGGGGTTAAGTCAACGTACTCAAATGGTTATCATAGTAAAGGGTCACTTATCGTACTCAAGGGGGCTAAGTTATCATACTCAAGACTTTAAATTATCGTACTCAAGAGGTTAAGTCAACGTACTCAAATGGTTATCATATTAAAGGGTAACTTATCGTACTCAAGGGGGCTAAGTTATCATACTCAAGACTTTAAATTATCGTACTCAAGAGGTTAAGTGAACGTACTCAAATGGTTATCATATTAAAGGGTCACTTATCGTACTCAATGGGGCTAAGTTATCATACTCAAGACTTTAAATGATCGTACTCAAGAGGTTAAGTTAACGTACTCATGGGGATTAAGTCATCATTATTATTATTATTAAAATTGACCACTAGTCCTATTTTGACACTGATATAATTCCGATTATTCAACAGATAAAAAATGTAACCAAAAATTGTAAAAAAAAATAATAAAAATACATGGCATTATAGAAACTGCAGCAATATATTAGGAAAAAAAATATTAAAAATGAATAGACATTATCTGGCAGTTTTTCATCTACGGTTTTAATCTTCACTACAATTTTATTTTTATCTAAACGACTCATCAGCCTCCGTGGTTCTGTTAAATTAAGGGTTAGGTTAGGTTAATGTTCCCATATGTTAGGTTAGATTACTGTTTGGATGGTTAATTTTGAGGTGAAATAAGCTGGGGTGTGTTTAGAGAGAGAGTTAAGGAGCTACAACTAGTAACAACCAAGAGACGTAAAAATAACAAAGCTTAATTGTACCAAACTACAGGAGGCTAATTAACAAGGGAGACGAAAATTTGAGTAAGTCTTTTAACATGACTCTGTGGACTGAACAAAATTACCCCTATTATTGAAGTAAATAATGAATAATTTCCATTTATTATTCATGGTAACTAAATTTTATACATCAATAATTCATGTAATTTACCTTAGAATAAAGACTTTTCTTATCTATCGACTTTATAAGGAATAATTGCCATAATTGTAAGCCCTTGTCATCCCCCTCATAGTGAGAAACATATATCCATTCTTATTACACAAAAACTAATATAATTTATTCATAGCCTTTAGATAATTCTTTATTATTATTATTTACAAAGGAAAGGACATTGCAGTGCCATGATTTTTCAAAGACGAGAAAGGAAAGTGCACTCGGGGTTCCAGTAATGTGGTTCTCCTGAATGAGTTAGTTTACCCTGCTTGAGAGAGAGAGAGAGAGAGAGAGAGAGAGAGGGTGGGGGGGCCTGACGCTGGCTAATCAAGGACTCAAAGACCTGCCATATTAATGACCTCCGCCACACAAACACTCACGCGAAAACAACTTGAAAAACTAACATATCAAAGAGAATTATCACAGAGTTGGTAAAACTGAGCGGGCTGCAGGGGAGTGAAGGGGGGGGGGGAGGAAGGGGGGTGGAGAAAGAGGAGGGGGAAGAGCCAGTATTTTGTCTAGTTGTTCAATGTGACCTGGGAGATGGTAGGTGACCTGGAATATCGCACGTACACACACACACACACACACACACACACACCTGTACCACGTTTGTCCATGTTTGAATGAGGAGGCCAGACGTCGGCTGTTGACACACACCTGAAACCCCGTCCATGTCCAGCCAGGCAGTCCGCTTGTACCCGCAGTTTACACCTGTTAGTTTACACCTGCTTCGCCTACACCGTTAGTTTACACCTGTTAGTTTACACCCGTCAGTTTACACCTGTTAGTTTACACCTGTTAGTTTACACCTGTTAGTTTACACCTGTCAGTTTACACCTGTTAGTTTACACCTGTTAGTTTACACCTGTCAGTTTACACCTGTTAGTTTACACCTGTTAGTTTACACCTGTTAGTTTACACCTGTTAGTTTACACCTGTTAGTTTACACCTGTCAGTTTACACCTGTTAGTTTACACCTGTCAGTTTACACCTGTTAGTTTACACCTGTCAGTTTACACCTGTTAGTTTACACCTGTTAGTTTACACCTGTCAGTTTACACCTGTTAGTTTACACCTGTCAGTTTACACCTGTTAGTTTACACCTGTTAGTTTACACCTGTCAGTTTACACCTGTCAGTTTACACCTGTTAGTTTACACCTGTCAGTTTACACCTGTCAGTTTACACCTGTTAGTTTACACCTGTTAGTTTACACCTGTCAGTTTACACCTGTCAGTTTACACCTGTCAGTTTACACCTGTTAGTTTACACCTGTCAGTTTACACCTGTCAGTTTACACCTGTTAGTTTACACCTGTCAGTTTACACCTGTCAGTTTACACCTGTCAGTTTACACCTGTCAGTTTACACCTGTTAGTTTACACCTGTTAGTTTACACCTGTCAGTTTACACCTGTTAGTTTACACCTGTCAGTTTACACCTGTCAGTTTACACCTGTTAGTTTACACCTGTTAGTTTACACCTGTTAGTTTACACCTGTCAGTTTACACCTGTTAGTTTACACCTGTCAGTTTACCTTTCTTAACATCTATGAGTTTACTTTATATATAACAGCTAAACTTCCTAGTTATCCCAAATTCGACAAGGTATCTTAATGGCCCCCAGTCCTAATGGGCCCTAATCCTAATGGGCCCCAGTCCTAATGGGCCCTAGTCCTAATGGGCCCTAGTCCTAATGGCCCCCAGTCCTAATGGGCCCCAGTCCTAATGGGCCCCAGTCCTAATGGGCCCAAATACTACTAAATTGGTTTGACCTTATTAGAACAGGGGGCCATTAGGAGTCGGGCCTATTAGGATTGGGAGCCATTAAGACAACCTATGAGGAGTGAGGTGTAATAGGACTGGGGCCCACTAGTACTGGGGCCCAATAGGACTGGGGCCCATTAGACCTGCAAAAAATGATTTAAAACATATCACCTGTAAGACTAATCTAACCTAACCTAACCTAAATACTTCACTATAACCAACTGAAGTTAAGGAGGAGGAGGAAGAGGAGGAGGAGGAGGAAGAGGAGGAAGAAGAAGAAGAAGAAGAAGAAGAAGAAGAAGAGGAGGAGGAGGAGGAGGAGGAGGAGGAGGAGGTCACGGAAAGTTGCCGTGTCCCAGGCAACGAGTCCCCCCCCCTCCCTCCTCCTAGGACCCTGCACGATTCTTCACTCCCATCTCCCTCCCAACCTACCTCCCTACGCTGCCAACCTACCTCCCTACCCTGCCAACCTACCTCCCTACGCTGCCAACCTACCTCCCTACCCTGCCAACCTACCTCCCTATCCTGCCAACCTACCTCCCTATCCTGCCAACCTACCTCCCTATCCTGCCAACCTACCTACCTATCTTGCCAACCTACCTCCCTACGCTGCCAACCTACCTCCCTACCCTGCCAACCTACCTCCCTATCCTGCCAACCTACCTCCCTATCCTGCCAACCTACCTCCCTATCCTGCCAACCTACCTACCTATCTTGCCAACCTACCTATCAATCGTCCCAGGTATTCTCATTTATCCCTATTATTATCCCTCTCGTTATCTACCCAATTCCATCATTATTACGTATTTATTAATCCATATTTATCGTATGACCTCTGACCTTATAGCCTTCTGGCGGCGGCTTGTAGGGCGGCGCGAAGCTGAGATCAACGTAGCGCTCTGATTGGTCAATGGAGCGGGGATCTTCCTCCTCATTGGTCGTAGCGTAGTTCCAGCTGGTGGCTTGAACCTTATGCCGGGAGTGATAAGGCGGGGCTGCAAATGAACACACAAACACATCATTAAACGTCAACATAAACCAATGAACAAAGAAACGAACAAATACAGGTTTATCTAGTCGAGTAAATCTGGTTTATTGAAGAGAATAAGAAAAATGTGAATATTTTAAGTTTGATAATTTATTCTTGTACACACCCACCCCCCCACCCACCCCCACCCCCTCTTTCTTTCACCCCCCCACTCTCCCCCCACACCCTCTCCACCTCCCAAATACCACAGAATTATAAAAAATAAAATAAAAATAAATAAATAAATATGAATAAAAATACATACGCGTGTTTTTTTGGCTACAGATAAATGGCCCCATTGTTTACAAATTGGTCCCACGAATGAGCAAACAGACTGGGGCTTGTTTGAGCGAAATTTGCACGAATTGGTAGTTAGTGTGGGAGTATGACCTAATGATACCCGTAAAATAGTGGAAAAATAATAATTTAGCGAGTATAATTGGCGAGTATCATTGGCGAGTAGTACAGGCGAGTATCATTGGCGAGTAGTACAGGCGAGTATCATAGGCGAGTATTTTCATTAGTTAGGTTAGGTCATATCAGGTCAGGTCAGGAGAGTGTAGGTCATGTCAGGTCAGGTCAGGAGAGTGTCAGGGAGTAGAGTATCATAGGCGAGTGGTCAGGCGAGTATCATAGGCGAGTGGTCAGGAGAGAGTAGTATAGTCAGATCAGGCGAGTGGTCAGGCGAGTATCAAGGCGAGTGGTCAGGGAGTAGACAAGGTTCATAGGGTCAGGTCAGGCAGGTGGTACAGGGAGTAGTTAGGAGTATTAGGCGAGTGGTCAGACGAGTATCATGGGGTGGTAGAAATGTAGGTTTGGTCAGGAGAATGTAGGTCAGGTCAGGTCAGGTCAGATATCAACAAAAACATGAACCAATATTGCGATCACTTACGCCTTATTGACGTAACCTTATTCCTAACTTTCACTAATGATTAAAAAAAATAAATATCAAATTAATTTTCATCAAGTTGAAATTAAAACTTTATTAATTAGCGAGATTATTTTTTTTCTTCTAAATTTTATTAAGTAATTGTTCGTATTCTTAGTAATTAATTATTTTTTGTGAGCAATTGTGAATTATCGCGATGCTGTTTTGTTTTTCGTGTTTTTTTATATTCGTGTCTTTTCATTACGTTTATAGTCCACTTATTTATCCCTTTATTTTATCTCATTATACTTTTATTTATTTAGGTCTATTTCTATATATTTATTGTTTATTATTACTTATTTTATTTATTTCAGCTTAACATTATTAGTTTGTTCTACCCTGTTTCCTTTTCATTTCCGGATTGTGTTGAAGATATTAATTCCAGTTCGTATCATTTGTAGGAATTCATCATTATTTCCAGTTTGTATTATTGAGATTAATATTAAATAGTTTCCATCTATTTAACAGTTGTGTTACGGCATATCCAATTTGTTTTACGTAAATTTATATTAATTCATATTTATGTAATTCGTATGTAATAAATTTTTACTTCCAGTTTGTATTATTTAGATTTGTTGTATTTATTTACGGTTTGTATAACATTAATTTTATATCTATTTACGGTTTGTATAACATTAATTATATCTATTTACGGTTTGTATAACATTATTTTTATATCTATTTACGGTTTGTATAACATTAATTTATATCTATTTACGGTTTGTATAACATTATTTTTATATCTATTTACGGTTTGTATAACATTGAATCATATCTATTCACGCCCTGTACTTCCATTTATAAATTTATCACCATTTTCACCCCACCTCTCTTCCCTCTCTCGTTACTGTCCAACACTGATCTCGTTAAGCTCTCGTTTATTATCTTAATTTCCTGTTTTTCTTTTCGTTGGATGAAATAGGAGAAAAAAAATGAATTACAAAGATAAATTTTGGTTAACGTGATAGCGTGGTAGTAGTTAGTAGAATAGTGGTAGTTAGTGGTAGAAGTAGTTGGTGGGGTGGTATAGAAAGTGGTAGTTGGTGGTGGTAGAAGTTGGTAGTGGTAGTGGTAGAAGTGGTAGTGGTAGAAGTGGTAGTGGTGGTAGAAGTGGTAGTGGTGGTGGTAGTAGTTGGTAGTTCCGACAGGTAAAGAGTTGGGGAAAGTGACCAGAAAAGAAATAATAAAGGGTAGAAAGTTTGGGGCAGCTGGTCGCCTTTCCTTGGTAAGTATCAGAGGAAAAGTATTTAGCTGAAAGTAATTGAGAGCATTGTGTGTGTGTTAATGTTAGGGTAGGGTAGGGTGGGGTAGGATAAGGTAGGGTAAGGTAGGGTGGGAGTGGGGTAGGGTGGGTAGGGTAGGGTGGGGTGGGGTAGGGTGGGATGGGCGGTGGGTGGGTGGATGGCGGTAGTTAGGGTGGGGCAGGGCAGGGCAGGGCAGGGGTGGGGGCAGGGCAGGGCAGGGGGGCAGGGTAGGGTTTCAACTTCAATCTTACATACGAAGAATATCCACACATGCAGTTGGAATACATCAGTCAAGTCAGTGAGTGAGTGAGTCAGTCAGTCAGTCATGAAAACACATATGAAAAATAAACGATAAATTATGAATAAAAACTATATAGGGTTTGTGTGGCATTCATTATTGGTTTTAATATATTAGTTAAAGAATGACCTAGAGGCTAAAACAGAGGGGGATAAATTAGGAAGGGAGGAGGAACAACAACAACAACAACAACAACAACAACAACAAATACAAATAAATAACAACAACAATAACTTAATAACAACAATAATATAATAATAACAATAACAATAATAATAACAACAAAAACAATAATAATAACAACAACAACTTTTTTTAAGTTGTGAACACTGAACAATGACAGACAGACAGACTGACAGACAGACAGACAGACAGACAGACAGACAGGCACAGACAGGCACAGACAGACGAACAGGCAGACAGACAGACAGACACAGACAGACAGACAGACAGACAGACAGACAGACAGACAACGAGGCAGACAGACGGACAGACAGCACAGACAGACAGACAGACAGGCATAGACAGACAGACAGGCACAGACAGCAGACAGACAGGCACAGACAGACAGACAGACAGTACAGACCGACACTATTTCAGATAACCACAACAGCAAAGAGTGAAGATAAAACACACATATAACACAGCACGCACAGGCACAACGTCTTACTCGCTCACAGACAACAGCCCTTACAGCACTGGCTCAAGTAGCAGGGGTGAGGCAGGTGGATGGGTTATAGGCTCTTACACACGTATAAGAACACCAGGAACACGGAATGGAACACCAGGAACACGGAATGGAAATACCAGGAACACGGAATGGAATACCGGCACGGAATGAACACCAGGAACACGGAATGGAACACCAGGAACACGTATGAACACCAGGAACACGGAATGGAACACCAGGAACACGGAATGAACAGGAACACGGAATGGAACACCAGGAACACGGAACGGAACACCAGAACACGGAATGGAACACCAGGAACACGGAATGGAACACCAGGAACACGGAATGGAACACAAGGAACACTTAAAGGGAGGAAAGTAGCAAATTTTAACCCTTAACTAACACAAAACAGAAAATCTAGAGTCTCAGTGTAAATCAGCCGCCATTTTGACCTCACGTGAGACAGTCCCACATTTTCTTCTCTACTCTGCTGAAACTCACAACAGTCAGCCATATTATTTGTAGCGAGAGGAAGGAGAGAAAGAAAATGTGGAGAGGACCAACTTGAAGGGGGAACTGAGGAAACTTTCTTAATATATCTTAAGGAAGTGACATCGACCAAACACACACACACACACACACAAACACACACGCACACTACTTTTTCTTCTACTATTACTACTAATATCGTTACTACTACTTCTACTACTCAATACTACTACTACTACTACTACTAATAATAATAATAGTAAAAGACTGGTTAATAATAGCACTAATAGCATCATCAGTAATAGAAGTACCAGTATCACACCATTACATTAGCAGTGATCACCGTAGCTGGCAATTAGTATCTCTATGTCAATATAAAGGAGTAATGTCCCCGAGTAAACCCATAACGAGGCTAATAATGGCGCCAGCGACCTCTTCCTCGTGTTAATTAAAGCTCCTGTGTGTAGTGGAACAATATAGAGGTCAAGAACTGAAAGAAAATTAATTACTATATGATTCTAAACTCACCGTAACTTCAATATATATAATAAACATTCAATATTCTAATAAATCTATAAACATGATAAATTATTTCGATATATGAACCAAAAAAATCGATATACGAGAATAAATTTTGATATACGTGGAAATAAAATCGATTCACATCACCCAAGGACGAGCTACGATGTCAGGCCGTTACCAAGACAACCAGTGGAGTTTACAAGGGTTTTTTTTCCCCAGGTTAAAAAACATCAAAGGTCAAGAGTAATTGTGAAGAAAATAAAAACGGAGGGAAGATAAGTTTACACCTGACTCGAATGCAATCTAATGAAGTGTGTTGCCTGTCGTCTCGTTTTACAGTCAGGCTTCTTCATTACACACTTCTGATGGGATATTTTTTTCTCGGCATTATCTACATATTTTCTCTCTCTTTCTTTCATTCTTTTATTTATTTTTTCCTCTCTCTCTCTCTCTCTCTCTCTCTCTCTCAGCTACTTCACAAGATCGTAACATAAATTCTCAGGCCAACAGCTATGATTAATTAACCTGTACCATCTATGTACCTTAAACTACCCAATTACAGGTACACTAGATAAACTACCTAATTACACGTATACACTGGACAAACTAACTATCTCCTATGACACTCCTCTGAGACCATCACATGACACTGACACCATCACATGACACTGACACCATCACATGACACTGACACCATCACATGACACTGACACCATCATGACACTGACACCATCACATGACACTGACACCATCACATGACACTGACACCCTAATCTCCCCTCTCACACAAACACTGCATTCCCCCCCTGACCCC